TCTGTAGTTCGCTTAAAAATTATTGGGTTATTTTCTATAGAGTATCTCTAGTGTAAGTGTTTAATTATATCCAAACGTTTAATTATAAGAATGGCTATGATGGCCCAAAATGATGGAGAACTAAGATATATTTGACCGTCTAAATGTAATCTAATCCGTTTCGCTTCACAAGCTGGTAAACTCGCGAAACAATTACACTGGACTGTCAGTGACGTCAGCGCTCAGAGGCTGTCTCGAACATTTATCCGGTCATTCAGTTCATATCAAATCGAGCAACCATTGATGTTGTGCCGGAAAACATCGCTGAGAAATGAATGTGTACTTGAAGCATTCGCCGATAACATTACTAGATACCTACAAGCTAGCTCCCTTCCACACTACAGCTTAAATCGTCTGATAAATAATAGAACTGATGTTAAATTTGTGAGACATTAAGTTAGCATGAAGCAGTTTGAACCCAAGATGGTGTCAAATTAGAATTTCATGACGCAAATAAAGGGTCGATGTGACACATAGATTATATTTAAACGCTGTGAAGACTGCATCCCAATTCACTGTTGGTACAGTTAGCAGCCACCGCTGATAATCAGTCGCACCATTGTGATGATCTGGTGCGAGCATGTAGTCCACTGGTGCCATGGGAGACTTCCCACCCTGCATTTATCTCAAATATCTTGTTCTAGTAGCGCGTTGCATAAAAATAACTTCTGTACCAACGCTACTCGTTGCTTTTCGTGCTTATTTCGATATATCTATCTTGTATTGTATTTTTTTTGTCATTCATTCAGACATATGTCCATAGATCGTCGGCGTACAATTAGACACGTACACTTGTAACACTTTCTTTCTATTACAAAATCTCTCTTAATCAATTAAAACAAAGAAGATCCACACTACCTACTTTCTATATTTTATTCTCTGAACGATCCAATAAAGCGTGACACGAAATAAAAAAAGCGATATTCCGATGCGATTTGCGATAGAGTTTGCGGAAGCTGCGAGGGAATAATGTTCCGCGTCCGTGCGCCCGCGCATAACTGTTAACATCTTAATGACGGCCGCCGGCCCGGAGACGCTGCAGCGGTGGAGTCATTTATTTGTAACGAATCGACTGTTATTCTAATGCCAGGAAAATTATTGGCAATAACGCCGAGCGGCCGGTAGTAATGACTCGACCAGTCTGTGTTACTTCGACGCATCTTCATATTATTATAGTTCATTCAACAAATAACACATTTTATCGACCTATTAGCTTTGTTGAATGACAATTGTCTTAATGTTAAAGTAAATGTGTATACTTAGTACCTAGTCTGTGCAACATATTGAAGTGAGTTGGTGGTTTATAATAATAACAAAGTCGGTTCACGTGCTAGTTCTGTTTCATTGAATCATCTATGAGGTGAAAACATTTAAAATCTCGTAAATTCTCGTAATGAAAGCCCGCGAGTGTTCCGTGATCGAACAAGTGAAAGCTCATCTTGTATTCCCATCAGCGACTCGCGACCTCGCCGGTCATGTTGTTTCCGATATTCTCGTTTTATGACAGTTCCCAGTTTTGTTTAACGTGAAAACAATCGAAAGTGAACATTGGGACCGGTTCCGCTGCGGACTGTTTGGTGTGTTCTAAACAATGTTTATTGTGTACCAATTAAGTGCGATCGTTCTGGATTACGACAACGATATGAAGACCGTTTACAGCCTTTTAATGTCAATGAAACGAGTCTCAGATAAATTTTTATAAGATAAAAACTAGGTCTCGCTGCACCTCTCCACTCTACAGATAACTTATTCTCTGTTAATAAAAGCGAACTTAATCCATGTAAATTTTAGTATCAAAAGGTCTATAAATCTGCTGCAGATATCCATCTAGTTTTTCAAAAATAACTGGAGCAATTTAAATTAATCTTAATTTGAATCGCGTGAATCACTTGTTATTTTTAGCGGAGTCTTTTGTCCCCGGAGTAGTGTGCGAGGCCATGCATCAGCCCCCACAGGGTTGTCACATAAACAGAAATTAAGGACTGGCCCGACTAGTACCATTTACTTGTTTTAATGCTGATCTTATAATGCAAACATCATGAGCAGCGGAGGGCTTACAGTCACAGATAAAAATGGGACGAACAACTGGAGCGTGGTGCTTGTACACTCATAACACTTACGACGTCCCCGCACACTTTACTTATACTTACTTACGTCTTAATTATTATGATACGCTTCATCAGTTACATATCTTTACTACGTCCTGGTTATAATTTCTAATCTTTTATGTTAATGTATTTGCTTTTTTTGTTAAATTCTATTGATATTTAATTGTATAAGTTTCTAGTTATATAAGTAATAAATATCAATGTTGTTATAACCTTCTGCCGTCGAGTGTCCCTACGGGCGAGTGCTCGCATTTTTTTCTAGCCCACGCGTTATGATAATTGTTTGTCATTGTGTTCAGTGACTTCGCTACTCTTCTTGGATGCTGATCGTATTCAAATAGATCTTAAATTATTACAGATCGTGACACCTCCCGTGTAGTAAGTCATGTTTCAATAATTTTGACAAGTAGCAGCTTATCTGATGCTTTTAGTAGCAGTTTTATGTGCAGAAATGCATTGAAGCTGGGATATAATAAAATAGAAAATATAAAACTATAATAAGTATAATTCGATGTACTTGAATATGATAATTCGTTCATATAGCGAAACCTTTACAACTAATTATATGTATGTGTATCCAAAATACACACACTTTTGACTGACAAGAGACTAGATGTTACAACAATTACTGTATTTGTTAGAATAACGATTGAACAAATGCGTGCGTGTTTTAATTGTCTATTAGTTTTTTGAACAGAAATCTTTCGTACAACACGGCAAGATTAGATTCCCCCGCCGCCGGCAGGTAAAAATAACTTTTTATATTTGAACACCTGTCATAATGAAGTTTTTGACAATGAATAGTAAGTTGTAAAGTATAGTGAGTGTGAAGTTATACGTATTTATTTATTGAAGATGTTCATTTGTTTGTACATTAGTACGTCGCGTATTTAGACTCGTAGAAGTCTGTAAACAACAGTTAATATGTCCGAGCCAAAGAAAGTTGCGCGTTTCTCTCGACTCCATGGAGAGAAAATGACGTCGCTATGCACTTTTGCCATCTATATTTAAGGTTGACAGGAATTATTATATATTTTATATTTTATTAGATAATCTAAAGTTAAAAATTGAAACTTTAATATGATTTATATTGAATAAACCACGATTTTTATTTCTCTTATTACTAGAATATTATTTGAGTAATATAAATCAGTATAGTATGCACCAACCCTGGCCAGATGTACCTGATGAATGTTCAAATAGTAATTTTCACTTGACGTCATATTCGTTCATTTAATAACAGCTATCATTACAGCCTCAGCGACTTTCTTGACAATTCATCTGTCAATATATTAATGACATAATATTTAAAGATATGTATTTATTAGAAAAAATAATATAATCTGACTATCGTGGATAGTAATATGTTGTAAAGTTTACCCTAAAAATGGAAAATACGAAATAAGTGAAAAGGAGTTCTAATATTTGTATAACTTAAGAGCTATTTAACATACAGATTAAGATCTATAGGAACGTCTCGATTAATTGTTGGATATCCTTTTTCAATACAATAATTATATAATACTAGTTTTTGACCGCTACTTCGTCGGCGTTAGTGAGACTTAGAAATGTATAGTTGACTGGAGGAAACTCTATTCCTCCTTAAAGATAAGAAGTTTTTGGATTTGATAAACTTATTTTTTTTCTTGTTCAATCAAATCAAGAGTATCCTATGTCCCTTCCCTTGTTCTAAGCTATCTCTCCACCAATTTTCAGCCAAACTCTTACAACATTTCTTGAGTTATAAATAGTGTTACTAACATGACTTTCTGTTATATACAAAGATTAAAAACATTCCGATCAAAAGAAAAACATATATTAATTATTAAAATTATTAGTGACAGATGTTTGTCGTTTATGCTAGGAGGCGTACTCGGCCTTGACCCGTGACCTCTGACCTAAAGCGACCAAATGAGACATTCCATTATAGTTATTGTCATAAAAAATGTAGCTTACTGAATACTCATTACTGCATATTGATTCTCTAGTAATATTTGTACCAAGTTTCTGAGTATATTATTAAGAGCATTATCAATGGCTGAAGATGATAAACAAACGGAAACTTTCATACGTTTCGTGAACTACAACTTGTAGTAATAGTACTAGTGGTAGTGGTGATACAAAAATTAATTTAATATGGAATCCAGATAGTGAATTCCAAGTAAAGAAAGTTGGTATCGGAATGAATATTTCAATGTTAGTACATACGTGTCGATGTCTGTGAGGCGGTAAGCGGATTACTCAATGAGAGACCATAAATTATATTAAACCCGTCATTTAATTAATTTACTTGGATGCTACTCAAAATCTCTCCACGGTTTGAGGAATTTTATCTTGCGTTGATAGCTAACGAGCAGAACCTTTGTATTATATAATATTTATTTACGATGATTCTGATTAATCCATAGTTTTAAAACACGAATCGTTCATATTAAATCCTCCAATCACTTCTATTATTAATATAGTAATAAAATTTCTCTCTTATGAGTATGTTGAATGAATAAGGAAGGTAATTATGGTACTAAACAGTTAAAGAACTTCAATTGTTTTGGAATGAAATGCTTTTATTAATCGATGTTGCCTTATTTAGATATTTCGTAATATATAGTGTATATTTTAAATAAAACTAATATCTGTGGAACATACTACGCGTGCTTTATTTTTGTAAAAATCTTCATACTCTCGACGTTTAGGTTACTGTTAATTAATAAAACTCGCGAAAGTTTAGATCTCATTAAGTGTATTCTTCTTCTTCCTGACAATTTCCCAGCTTTAGCCAGGGTCTGCCTAAGTGTATTATCTTTATGTATATGTCTGTATGTCTTCCACCAGATGTCCGTGTAGAGGGTGACCATGGGGCAGGCGGGCAGCACGGGTCCGGAGCTGCGGCCTCGACACGCGCACACTCTGCCGCACGAACCGCTGAGACATGCACCCAAGGTACCTACTACAAACATACAACTTGAACTCATACGATCTTTTGATAAATTTGCTATATTTTACAACAAGTCGTGTTGGCCTAGTGGTTAAAGGCCCACCTCTCATGCATGAGGGCACGGGTTCGAAACTGGCAAGTACCAATGTACTTTCTAAGAGTTTTTACACACCACTGACAGACGGTGAAGGAAAACATCGTGATTCTGGACTTATAATTTCACAATAATAAGTTTGCAATCACTAAACCATCTTAAGCCAGCGTAGTAATTTATGCTCAAATCTTCTCCATGTATAAATAGACCTTTTACTCAGCAGTGAGCTCTGATAGGCTGATGATGATATTTCCCAACCTGTTCCAGGTCCTACCGTCGCTGACGGAGTCTCCTCGCCTCCGCAGCACTGATAACGGTGTGATCCTTCAGTCAGGTGGTACCATCAGCGGCCGAAGACCTGGCTCCCTACAGCCGGAGACAACGAGAACTCCTCAGGGACATGTGGTATGTTACCATAACTTAAGACATAGCAGCTTCTATTAAACTCACGAATTAATAGAACAGAAATCTGCTAAGAGATACAATTATTTGGTTTAAAATTTATACACACACCTATTTTAGCTATAGTTGATGAATCAACTTAATGAATGAATTCTAAACTTAATTAGTTCAGCATCTCCACTTTTCGTGTACCTTATCTTATGCCCAGTACTCGTCACTTAAACTCAAGTTATCATTAAGAAAGAGAAATTTTCAATTTATTTATGTATGTAGGAAGTAACAATAAAGATGTTTGATGAATGTACATCCGTCCTTCATTACATCATAATATATTCAAGCCCCGTCTCATAAATACTCCGCTGTAGGAGCTCCGGACAGTTCTGTTCCCGCAGCATGGAAATAATAATTAGAAGAATTTAAACATCCCGGTGCAGTTTATGTCCCGCTTGTATCTCTCAAACAATTGCTCGTAAAGCTCTCAAAGTGGATTGTCTAGCCCTTTCCGCTATGAAATGCTTTTAGCTGAAATGAATCTGTCCACCGACAGACTAGATGTTAATGAGACGCTAGTCGCCGAGACTTAGACTCAAACTCAGACTTAGACTTTATATTGGTTAGTCTCTACGGTGAATGTTGTCGTGATGCTAATGATAATTTTCTTTTAATAAACTATATTAGACGCTTCATAAGGCAGTTACAATTAAATTATATAATTTCAATGAAATTTCCTTGTAAAAAAATTGTGGAAATCTTTAGGGTTGTACTACAAAGATGATGGTCGGCCTTAAACTAGTCGAGTTTACTTGTTGAATGAATATGACATGTGTTGTATGTAAATTGGTTGCACTTATATTTTAAATATATTACAAGAATACTAAAGTCATGTTTAAACATCATCCATTCCATTATATAGAACATAAATCCGACAAGAAGTGAATTATCTAATCGATTCTAGACATTTTGAAAACCAAAGAAAATGTAATGACGTGACGCATTTTATGTCATATTCATACTGAAATATAATATTATTAGATACAATTACGTCAAAGGTTATATTCTATGTGTAAACTGTATCGTTCTTCATTTATTTTGTTTCCAGCACTCAAACGTGTATAGGTCAAGGTCAGCGGGGGGAGCTTCTGAGGGAGACTTGAGGTCACGTGAACGAGACCCTCTCCATAGATCACACACGAATTTGGACCTCAGACATGATTGTGAGTTAATAAACATACTTAAAGCGTCATATTAGAATGTGTTATATATAAATGAATATATTTCAGCAAACGGTCTAAACAAAAGGTTCGGGTCTGAACCTGACCTAAGAATAGAAGAGGAGCAGCAGAAGCCAAGAAGTAGTAATAATAAACATTTTAAGAAGAAGTACCGAGCGCCGCAACCACCGACTATAGATGTAAGTAACTACTTCTAGACTACAACTATTACAACATTCTTTTTTGTTTATTGTCAAAACATGTAACATACCATCAGCAATGGGAGCCATGAATTTAAAGATTGTCACTTTAAGCGGTGCAGTTGGACTTATTTCAGTTCTCCGCCGAAATTAAGTGATATTTTTATTATTGTGTATCTTGAGTTATAAAATAAACTATGTAGTTACTTTGTGTGTATAATGAATCTAATATTTGACAAATACTTTATAACTTACCTTTATATCCCCGGTAGATTTTCCGTCTATTAAAATTCCATTGCTTTATGTTATTTCAGCACCGAGGAGGTTCATCGCCAGATTCCTGCGAAGGGAACGCGAAAGCCGAACCACAAAGGAAACTGAGATTATTCAAAACGAGAAATGAGACCAAAAAACTAAACGGCCACAATGATTCTAAAATACCGGTATACAAGAATACATATACCGACTTTAAATCTTTAGACTTCAACGACAACTTCGAGAGGAGATACAAATCACCTTGTAAAGACAAAGAAACAAGTTTACTTTACGTAGATAATCAAGACATGGTCCAGAGTTCGACCTCACTTAAACAAGAAGAGAGATTAATACAAACGAAACAAGATTACAAAGTAACTAGAACAGATAGAGTGAGCGGATGTAGGGCGAAGACGACGAAACCAAACGAACACAAAGAAGCGTGGAAGACACCGCTCCTAGACAGAAACTTTAGACATTCAGATAGATTCAAAAAGGAGGCCCTGGAGCCGCCGCTGCTACGAAGAGAAAAAACATTCGATGAAACGCTTATTACACATGAATCACCCAGAGCTTTACACGAGAGAAGAATTAAAGCAGTCGGTGAAGAATTGAAGAACAACAAGTTCAGTCCACTGGGATCTAGGAACCAGCCCTTGAGGAAATCTCTTCCTTCATTACTCAGTAAAAGTAATGAAGAAAAAGATGAGTTTCAGGAAGAACTTAAAAAAGCAACGAGTAAAATAAGAAAGGAAATAGGAAGTAAATTAATTGTAAGCGAAAATAAAACTAGTCAAAACGATAGAACGAGTTCACAAAAAACAAACCCAACGAGAGTGGTGCAGAGCAGAGTCAAAGAATCTAGTCTTAAAACAACCAACGCTAAACAGGATTCTAAAATAAACAATCACGTCGCCAGGAGGCCGTTGAGTCGGCTCAATGAGAGTAAACCGAAAACATCGCCGCAGGTGAAACCAAAAACGAATGACGTCAGAAAATATAACTTCGAAAGTAAAGAAAATGTAAGGACACTCCCTGATAGAGGACAGGCCTCTGGGAAAGAATCAACTCCGGAACATTCACCGACCAGGAACAAAAGTAGTAAGGATGGAGTGTCAGAGAGGTAAACATTATAATAATTCTTATGCTGAGTACGGTTAAAAGGAACATAAATTAAATTGTATAAGTATTTTTCCTTTCAGACAAAGATCAGCACCATCAAAGCAATTTTACTTCGGTATGATAGAAAGCAAAAACACCGAGCCTCAAGATCATTTGAAAGACTTCCCCGGCCTCGGCAGTCCTATCATAGAAGAGCTGAGTAATTTTCACGTCATCGAACAGAAACTATTAGGCTACCATTCGGAGGACGAAATGGATAAGTTCAATGAGAAATTAAAACAACACTACAAAAGAAATTGTATGATACTGTTATATATTCGTGATTACAATTAGATCAAGTTGTATGTATTAATTATGTATTATTTTTTTCTTCATAGTGTCTTCGGAATCAGCATTATCATCAGATGGTTCGGAAGGCGAGGGTTCGGACGGCTCGCTGGGTATTGCCCTTCGCCTTAGACCAACTCTTCCAAAAAAGCTGCCCAACGCTCCACGTTTTTCACCCGCCGCGGCCTGGAGACAGCTTGCCACATTAGATGCTCATCTTGCGGGTGAGATAACATTAGATCAAAACAATATAAACTATAGAAAACTATTTTAACATAAAGGTAACAACAACATTATATGTTTTTCTGATTCATTTTTATTTTCATTCTTGCAGAAACTCAGCCTCTAGCAGTAGAAACCAAAATGTCAGCCGTAATATCAGCGGAGTCATCGCCAAGATCGGAACAGTCAGCGGACAAGTCAGGTGACTCTGGTATATCTGGTGACCACGGACACAGCGACCACAGGATAGATTCACCTGGACATGTGAGGCATACACTACTACTACTAATTACTAAAGTGATATTTTTTGATTATACTCGTAGTCCTTATTCATCATGTTTTCTTTTGGATCTTAATAAAAAACTTAGATGATCACTTTATTTTTGGTTTAGTGAACTTCAAAAACACTATAATATATGACAATAATTGTCAAGGTGTCTCTAAGTGTTGTCAATTCAAAATCTCTAAATATATTCAAAAAACGATTAAGAACCCATATATGTATAATATTAGATGATTACACTGATCTTGTTTAATATCACCACTGTTTTTTATTTGTAATCTTAATTATAGTTATAATTTTTAAAATTTCCTTTGTAAGCGAACTTTGTTCTTTTTGGACATAAACTTCTTTACACCTAAACCTAAGGTGGTGGAGCAGGCGACATGGACGCCGCAACAAGACCTTGGAGACAGCAGCTCGGAGGGCGCGGGCGGCGGGCCGGGGGAGGGGGGCAGGGACAGGGAACACGGAGCCTTCAGCCTCAGCCTGCCGCGGGAGGACAGGGTGAGAGACACAGGGAATAGAGCGCGGGAAGTTGGGGACACGACTGATATAAAAACAACATGACATTACATAAATATCTGTTGGTTTAATTGGAGTTTATTTGAGAAATTTTTGGACGGAATCGTTTTCATTTCACATATATTGGTCATTGGAATAGATATCATCGTAACTAACAAACTAATCCCTAACCTCTCGTGCCGCTCTGAGGAGGAGTAAAGATAAAACGCACACAGCATGTCTTAATTTTAGACCACGGCTGATTCACTTAACACCTTCATCTACACTAACCTATTAACCGCCTTGTTATTTAATACTAATATTTCATTATATTCTCCTCACGAACTCATAACAATGTAACTACTCGTAACTTGGTAATCTGATCACAAATATAACGTTTTATTAAATTCCTTCTGTACCTTTCATCACAATGACTATTTTCTCCACTTTCGTGTAATGTTTAATTTATTTTCTTTTCTCTCTCTCTCGTTTTTCTCTTTCTTCAGCTTAGTTGTTGTTTATCCTTATTCCTCGTCAGTTTGATGTAAGACCAAAATTTCAAATCCCTCATAGTTTAAAAGCGTGTCGTGCTTCTACGAATGCTTCCAGGGTAAACAGTTGCAGCATGGGTTCAACAGCCTCCAGAAATTAAGGAAATCAGTTTCCGGAGCGTTTGGAGTCGCGCTCGGTTCTAGAAGATTCGACTTGGAACATGAACCGATGTTAGAAGAACCGGAACAGAACTGGTTCCTGACCAAGTCAGCTCCTAACTCTCTCAGTAACCCGCTGCTGTACCACCACCCGCTCAGAACAAAGGTGTCTGATGATAATCTGAAAGACGAATCTTTATTATCTTCTGATAAGGTAATATAACCTATTTACTCACTTCCAGACTGCAAAACATTTTTCTATTTTCATATTTTATCGATATTCTTTGAATGTATAACATTGATCGTAGCCTCAAGAGGAGTGTCGTTGGCGCACTAGCTCCTACGTGAGTTGTATCGGCCGCGGCATGTACCTGCCCCCAGCGCTCGACTCTCCGTCAGTCACTGTGAACTCCATAGAGAGGCCCGTACGGTAGGATCAATTATCAAATCATACAGTTTCAAACCATACAAAACTTAATATTAAATGAGTGATTAAGTTTTGACTATGAAGGGTGTGTTATTGTCGATTATAATGTGACTTCACCAAAGCGTGAGTTCAGACGGTACCATCAGTTTCCTCTCCTAATTCTATTGTGGTGACTAAACAAATTAGGTTCACCCGACTAAACTCAGCATAAGATCATATAAGATAACGATTTTGCGTTGGAACGTGCCGTGTCCAAAACAATGATAAAGACTACGCCTGTTTATTAGCAATTTATGGGCATGTCATATATCGTCTGTTTTAAAATAAAACTTCTTTACGCAAGCTTGACTTAGGAGTCGGCTGGTGAATACGTGACGAAGAAGTTACGAAAAGTGTGATCGGTCGAGGCGAACGAAAACATATGCATATACATATTACATATATATGAAGCAAAAGAAGTTTTACATCAATCGTATTGTCTAAATCACAATGGTTTTATTTTCTTTAGTTAGAAAACACGCCATCAAGTCCATGTGTGTACGTTAGTCATAGTAGTTATTTCTCCCGTCACCAGGAGTAAGTCATCAGGGTCACTAGTGGCTGCTGCTCGTGCGGCGCGCGCGGCGGCCCTCGCGGCCGAGATGAGGGAGAGGGAGAGGTCCGCCTCACCACCACCAGTCAGGGCTGAACCAGCAAGGGTTACATCCACGGTAAGATAACAGTTACATGACATTCACAGTTTCAGTAATAGCGATATATAAAATTTGGTCGCATTAACTAACAAGTGACGTAACGGGGTATTATACGATCAAAGTATAAAGTGGTGCATCGTATTAAACGCTGTAGTTTCAATTCGGTCGTCTTATAACAAGAACGAATAATTTGGTAGTCGGTCATTTAACTTGACATTTAATAATGCGTTGTTAATTTTTCAACGTGGAACGTAAATATTATAACAGACAATTATAATTTTGAAGGTTCGTTAGTACCTGTATGCCTCGTTTAAAAACAAACAGAGATTGGTGAAACTGGGCCTTAGTTATCTCAACTTAATTGAGTTTTTCATTTAATACTTAATATTCAATATTAATGGCCAAAGAAGGCAACGTAAATGATGTAATCCAAAAACATGTAGTACTATAATATATTACAAATACAATATGTTTCCTTCTAAGCACTGAACGAGTCTGTCTTTTATTATTTCAACTAATCATTAGCATGTTTTCAATGGCGCGTCACATGTGACAAATCACTAATAGAACTAAATCCATTCATGTGACGACGAACATGATGTCCACATCACAAATACATAACAAACTATTAACTTAAACTACTCTGTAATAAACGATAATTTGTTAGTTTTTATGTCTTAGTAATATTTTTTTTAAATTAATTACAATAGTCATAACGGGGACAAAGAAGTTTGACAAACACTATAGTATAGAACAAATACAATGTTACAAAACAGTGCAAAAAAACTAAGTCATTGATAGAGACGCTTTCCCACCTTAATTACCGACTCTCACACGACTTGACTCAATAATTAACGAGTCTTCCCTCCTGTTTGTTTAGTTTTAAAATTATTACAATTATATCGTTTGGACTAATCAATGTATCATAAAACTTTATCGAAGACCCCCGTGGTAGCGTGGATTTTAATTAACCCACTAATATACAGGGGGTATAAAAGTTATGTTCCTAAATATACAAAATTTCTGTAATCTATTGAGAACATTTATTACTAATACTTTAATAAAACATGTATTCTGTTTAACTGGTCGTCGTTTTGATATATGTGGAAGGAAAATTAAATCTTCGTAAAGTCTGTGTTGCAGCGTGGTTATAAATATGTTTTGTATTCCACCAACGTGTACACACGAACACTCAACAAGCCAACAGATAATTGTAAATTACACGCGTTTATATATTTTTATGAAACTATTTGGGTCGTACTTCATTACAATATTGTAAATACGTGAAAAAAATATCATTAACTAAACTTTGTACGCGGCTCTGCTTACGATATTAGTTCTATACCCGTGTAGGTATTGAATTGTATAGAAGTGAGCGCTAACAACTACATTAATTAGTGTTTTATCTGTACTTCAACACAGTATTGTTGTAAAATATTGTGAAATATGTTTCCATTATTATTTATAAATTCGTTTGTTGCTATAAACCTAACGTCTTCCGCGTGTATCAGGAATGCAATTACTGTTTAATATCCGCGCTCCGCTAATTGTGCTATGATCGAAATTTATAAATAAAAGAAATAATATAGTGTTCCTTAATATCTGTTCTTCTTCCTGGCAACTCCCCAGCTATAGCCAGGGTCTGCCTTACATGTTGAAAATAGTTTTATCTAATTGTTTTTACGACCGGCCGCCTGCCTGACATCAACCCTCTTTTTGAATACTAGTTTTCCTTAATATCTATGAAGCAGAAATATTATATGAAGTTACGTAAAACTATCTGACAAAGTTATAGTCTGTGAGTTTTCACTTTTAGTCGTAACAAATTATTTTAATATTTAAGCGAGGCTTTGGGTTAGGAGGTCTTTAGTGAGGATTTTAACCTTTTTCCTTATATATAATACCATAATATATTACTCTACCAGCGTGAGGTTGTTTTTGTAAATAACAACACAAGTCAAACTGACAAATACAAAAATATTTGAGCAGAGATATGTATATAACAATTAGTATGCAGGTCGCCTGTTGCGTACGTTTCCTAATACTGTAACTCCTCAAAGATTAATATCACTCAGGAATTTCTAATTTTGTATAATAATTCTAATTTATTGTTCGGACATCGTCACGAACATGTAATTTGTTTAGATTTAATATTAATATACATTACGTGCTACCATTGTCACTTACTACAACTTTATATCTGTAAAAATATTCGTGGTTTTGTTATAAGGATCGCATTAAGTATGTAAAAAATTATAAAAAAATTCAGTTTAGCTTGAATTTGATAGAGATGACGTCATAACAACAGAATCTTTGTTTTGAAAACAATAATATGAAACGGGAAATGAGTCCGCGAACAGAGTTAGTTCGCGACGCGCGCTCCACGAGTAAAGACGTCAGTAGCTGCGCACGCGCACCACTGTTCGCTGTGGTTGTACTACCTGGTTTTTATTTATAATCATTATATTCGGTATGTTATATTATTATTTTTATTTGATATTCTTTACATATTAAAGCGTTCTTTTAAAATAAATAATTAATTTTATATAATATATACTTTTACGTAGACTTTCAGTAATGATGCTATTATATATTTTAATGGATAGTGCAACTCATTTTAAAAGTCATTAAATATAAGAGTCATGGAGTCTATTTATTATGTTTTTAATATTCCATCTATTACCACGACCACACCCCGACTTCACTTCACTTCACTTCACGGAAGGTGTTTCTGTGAGATGATATCTCATATATAATATTTCCTCGTTACTTTCACTCATCTACGTCGCGGGTGCGCTTCAACAATAACAATCATTACATATTAACTTCAATACATTGACTATTATGTATCACGGTATTATTGTGAACGCAAAATATATGCACGTTCAATTCAAGAATAAAATATTACAATTTGAAATGAAATACTTTGATTAACAAAACAGCGTAGTGTATACAAAAATATGCTTTCCTTTCTACAATGTTTTAAAAAACTTAAAATATATGGAAAAATGTAATGACTGATGTATATTATAATCATACATTTTGTATAAAACTAGTTTAAATCAACTAAAATATATCTAACGTATTAGATGGACCGGACGGCCTCGTCTACATCGACGTTGCAATTAATAACGCATCTTTATATTATGACTAGCTTATGCTTTCGGATTTGACTGCATTTGAAACTAACTCCCTTTGGGATACGTATACTCGTTTTTATAGTTTCATTCTAGGTCGACAATCCCTTCATCAGATCCTGAAAAACCTCAGGAAAAGCCTTCTTGATTAAAATGAATTGAAGTAAATGGGCCCTTAACTGAAGGATAAGGCATAAAGTAACACATCCATAGTCCAATTGAGAAGTTTTCGTTTTGATGTCAGTTTAAAACTAGTCTTAATTATTAAGCTACTCCTTGTGATATTGCCTACCTGAGAGTAGAATTCCCTTCAAAATCAGTCTAGCCGTTCTGGCTCTCACCAGGAACAAACATACGATCGAAAAGTAGTAATTGCAATGGTGATGTAGGTAGCGTTAACATTTAATAAATGGATTTAATGAAAAGTTGTTAATTTGAAATTCCAAACATACACTTCAATTATACTTATTAGTAGATATATTTAATTCGATAAATACAAACATGTGTATTTTATAATAATTTTGAATAGGTTTTAAAATCAATGTCCCCGAGTTTCATATATTTTTTCCATGATTATATTAACCTAACAATTATTTCGTCCTGATTCCTTATCACAAGTATGAGAATAAAAAATACAAAATTATTCTCTGTCATGATGTACCCAGTAGTATTTCTTGACCTCTACTCATGATGTCATGGCTTCTTATAGACATCATGACAGTCTTATTAAATTATTGATTATAATTTATCATAAATTATTATAATGAATACTAAGCAAGCAAAAAATACATGTCATTTCATAAAAAAAACTATGTTTTTTAATGTGACAACATAAATTTATTTGTCTATGGCTCTAGGAATGGTCACCGCTAAGTGAATTGATTTTGAATAAATGATTTCTGTTATTGAGCAATGACATATATGTATTATTAATTATAATTATAAAATGTATATAGTAGAATATTAATTGAAATAAATACTATAGAATTATATTTAATTGTCATTAAAAATTTATTTTTGAATTTTTTTGTAACGTGTTTTATTGCATAAACATTTTTAAGTTATAACCACGATCTTGCATTGAAAAAAAATTGCCTACATTATAATTAACAAATGTTTCTTGTTGTTTTTTATGTCTACTTTTGACAAATGATTTATTATATTGATATATAGAAAAATATATAAAAACTGTTCGATTTCTTTTGTTAATAACTTACGAAGATTTTTTTTAATAAAGGGCTTTTAGATATCTCTTTAATACTACAATTGACCCTATCTTTGTCTGTTTGTTAAAAGATCCATTTGTATATTATTTTTACATCACAGTAATGTTGGTGTTTCTAGTTTCTGTATGAGTGTATAACTGTCATCACTATTATCGCGTTACAAACTATTATATCTAATAGTCAGTTACGGTAAGTTACTTCGTATCAAAGAAACGCGTGTACGAAATTATAAGACTTATATTCAATTATATTTTCGGGACTTTGCATCGCGTGTGTGAGATCTTAATTTTAATCTAAAGCGATTTAAGTTGTTATTGAAATATAGTGTAATAAAAATATAATATCGAAAATCGTCAGTCAGTGTTGGCCTAGTGGTTAAAAGGCCCGCCTCTCATGCTAAAGGGCGCGGGTTCGATCCTGGCCCGGGCAAGTACCAATGTGATTTTTGCGAGTCATATGTTCTCTCTAAGAGTATTGAGACATCACTGATTAATGCATTCCCAAAGAGGGTTTATGTCAGGTAGGCGGCCGGTCCTAAAAACAATTAGCCAAAACTATTCACAACATGTTCTGTGGAACAGAAGAACATGTACCGACCCTACATAAAGTGGGATTAGGACAGGAAAAAAAATCGTCTTAAATCTGAGAAATTAGTTAGTTATCTTTAGATTCCCAAAATACTTCACAAGTAATTAATTCAGTTTGTGGAGCTGATAGTACTATTCATATACAAAGAGAGTATTTTGTTCCAAGTTTTGTTTACTTTGGATCACCTGAACAAGCGAGGATGAGAATACTCCGGATTACCAAGTGTGAATAACGGCTTCCAATACTTACTGGTAGATTTACAACTCACGTAAATTGCCAGAGTATATACCATACATAGGACTATTTATTATTATCATAATTTAAAACAAAGTTTGAACTTATTTCATTTTTTTATATACCTAATTGTAATTCATTATAAAATTGTTATCAATTTCCAATCAATATTATTATTGTGTATGTATATAAAGTATTTTAATATTATTTTGACCTTATTGTCTGTCCGTACCGTACATCGCTCGTGCAGTCTTTTCCAAACTTGTATAAACATTGTCGGCAAACAGTTCGTTCAGTGTCATGTGTACCAATTTGTTAAATGCGCTTTCAAACCTTATACATAAAGGCATGTAAACACACGTTATATACTTAGTGTATTCACATAATCAACATCTATATAAATATTAGCATGACGCCACACGCATACAAACTGACTCGAAGCCTTTGTTTCTCATTTCGTAAGCAGCCTACTTCTAATTACGTGTTTACCCAGCGGTTGTATAATATCGTATGAGCTTCATAATTCTCAAGACATTTTTGAATAATACTCTACAGTGAAATTAATTTATATTTGTTCTCATATTATAGTAATCTTAACCTGGTTGTGATTTTGTCATGAAAGAATATTTATTATTTTTACTATATAATTAAAAACTTCCGTGAAATTCTTCAGACATTTTACGAATAGTATGCACTATCATAACGTCCATTTCATTGTAATGAATATTAATTACAATTGTTTTCGTTCCTTCTACGTAACAAACTTCGACACTGTGTTCAGAGACCGAACAATCAGTCCACCAAGTTTAATACAACTAGCTGTACCTATTGATCACAAACCTTTGTGTCGTCTTCCATTTAATAAGCATCAGTCAACACGATGAGTAATCATCAAACAAAGCGATCGTTTACTAATTCGGTTCAAGTAAAATCTACGATGAACGCCCTTGCTGGTGTTTGACTGTTTGCCGTGACTTGTGTTCACGCAATATTTGACAGCCGACCAACATTACATCTGAATAGTTTTATGACATCGCTGTTTGGAGATCTAAATGGTCACCAAATAGTTGATGAATGCAAATATATATTGTGTGCATTGTCTAGATTGGCTAATGTTCTGGCCCTAAAGGTGTAACACATATATGAATATCATTAACAATAAACATAAGAACTGGGAACTGACTGTAGGATAGAATTTATTTAATGATACGAAAGAGAAAATTAGGAAGACTTTTTTATTCCGTTATATTTTTAACATAATAAAAACAGAATATAATTTATAAAACTTAGAAGAACATCACAATATGTTACAGTTGGTTACAGCCAGGCCACATCCATTATGAGTGAGCTCGTAAATCTTGATCCTCATATAACTGTTCTAACTAAAACATGATTGTCATCACTCCACGACAGAGATTTAACTTGCTCTGATAATGTATGAATGAATGTGCTCACTGAATGAGAGGTATACATTCAAAACTATATATATAAACTAGCTTTCCGCCCGCAGTTTCGCCCGCGTGGAGTTCGGTTATATCGCGTTTCCAAGAGAACCTTTCAAAAGTCTGGGATAAAAACTATCCTATGTTCATTCTCAAGGTCAACTCTATCTCTGTACCAAATTTCATTAAAATCAGTTTAGTGGTTTAGGCGTGAAAGCGTAACAGACAGACAGACAGAGTTTTTTTCGCATTTATAATATTAGTAGGGATATATTTGGTTAATATCACGCTACGTTGAAGTGAGGACGTTGCGTAAAAAGGATGAACCAGATTGTAATCTTAGTATTCGCAAAATTTACTTATAACTTTGAAGTTTGTGTTATTTTAATTAGATATTATTTCATTAAATACATTGCTCGTGCGTTTGTAGAATATTGTGAAATCAACTTCCCATTGATGAGAATCATTATGAAGTACTTTACATGGCTAGAGGTATAATATACATGTTACATTAGTTTTGGTTAGTTTAAATAAATTTTAATATATTGGTTTTATACTTTTTGACACTTTTATATTAATATGCGAGATTTGGTAAATCTTTCGGCGGGAGTAGTCAAAGTAATATAAAATTAATTTCAAACAATTGATTTCTGTTTGACACTATAGCATGTAATATGTAGAAAATAAGTTAGTTAGTTAGTTTATGTACATGTAGCAAAATTTATTTAAATTATCCAAGTGAAGAAGGCTGTCCAGTCGTTTTAAAGGAAAAATTAGCGTTGAAGGCAACCATAATGTGAAAAGACTACAATAAATTTGTCGCTACTTAATATAAATATTACTTTTATATTGCTTTAAATTTCAGCTTTGGTTACATGTTGTTGAAGTTAAAAATTTAATAAAAATAGTATGTACTTAGAATAGAATAGAAATATTACATAAAAAACGGCACAGTTTTTTTTTGTTACACAAGCCACAAAGCTTCTATACATAATACAAACTGAATATCTTTTATTGTATGTTCATTGAATCTTCCTTCCTCCTCAATCTTCATATATTCTTCAGTGTTCTCTGTACTCATCTCTTCATCTCGATTCGCACGCTCTAAATAACTGTACGCACTAAATGTGCGGTTACCTTTTACTTTCAAAGCGGTTGTAATTTTTGACATCTAAATCATTTTATCTTTTGAATTTAAATCCATTAAACGACAAATAAAACATTTTGTTGCTAACGCTCTATCTGCTATTAGAATGAGTTTATGGACGACCTTAATTCGTTTTTAGACATATGGGAAGTGTAAACCATAAATTCCTTGAAATATAATAAAAAAATTATATAAAATATTGTTCACAAAAAAAGATTTATTCACTGATTCATAATAATATATATACATATGTATACTCCCCTTTATAATAATACTTTATCGTATTGTGGTTCTTAACTCACCTTTTTTCCTATAAAGCGTAATTCGAGCACCAGTCGCGGCAAGCGGTTCACGTTCCAGTCTACAGTGAGACAGCTTGAAAGACGACGGCTGGCTGAGAAGCTGTCCAAGGAAGCTGACCTCAAGGAGCAGCAGAGACTCACCGAGCTGGAGGCCATGAGGAGGTGGGCAACGAACTAAAGACTTCTCCCAAATAATAACATTCACTTTATACTACTATCACGATTACGATTCGGCAGCATTTCAGCAACCGTAATCACGGGCAGACGAGTTTTTATTAAAAATAAAGCACGCGTAATATATCGGAAAAATATTAGTTTCATTTAAAGGAATAAAACTCGCTTAAATCTGAGATCTCACTACTTTCATTAGTCGAAGACTCTAAAAGGTTATTAATATAAAAAGTCATATGTTGTAATATAGGTCATATGTTGTAATATAGGTCATATGTTGTAATATAGGTCATGTTTTCAGGGTTGAAGAAGAGTTTCAGCGGAAAAGGGCCAGAGAGAAGGCCAATATTCGTCAGCAACTCCGGTTGGTGACCAGCGGAGCGAACAGCATGCCCTCACCTACACACAATAATAAGGTACATGAACATTTCCTTTCTCGCTACATGGAAGAACAAGTTCAAAAGTTTTGCAATTTTCTCTCTTATAAAAATGTCAATTCGTGTGAGTGTTTAGAAACAGATTGGTTCTTGAAATTAATAAAAGGCCAAAAAAGGATTCTCTGAAAGGAAAACTTGTCTTAATAAGTCCTCATACATATTGTTTTCTCTTCATCATCAGTCGAGGGATGATCCCGATGGTTCATGTCGCGAGTCTTCAGCCGTGGAGCGTCGTGACGCCAGACTCCGACACAGCAACGCCTCCTCGGAGATCAGCGGCCGGAGCAAGAGCAGCACGCCGGTTAGAGACTTCATCCCTACTAATATTATAAATGCGAAAGTAACTCTGTCTGTCTGTTTCACGGCTAAATCACTGAACTGATTTTAATAAAATCTGGTACAGAGATAGAGTTGACCTTGAGAAACAACAAAGGATAGTTTTTATTCCAGACTTTTGAAAGGTTCTCTTGGAAACGCGATATAACCGAACTCCACGCGGGTGAAGCTGCGGGAGGAAAGCTAGTATTATAATAATATTCATTACATATGAGCAAGCGTGGTGTATAATGCTCAAACCTTCTCCATGTAAGATGCCTTTGCTCAACAGTGGGCACTGATAGGCTGATGATGACATATGGACATTTATTAGAAACTTGCTAAGTCCTGTGCTTGTAGTATCTTCATCTTCCTTGTGCTATGATTCCTCACTCATCTGTTGTATCTAGATCCATTGTGTGGAGCTGTCTGAGTGGCGCACATGTCCCTCGGCCCGCGTGTACCGCGACTGGTCAGGGCCGGGACCTGCGCACGCGCATCCACCGGCTTGCGCACGCATGCCCAAGACACACGGGCACACACACCACAACGGTCAGTATTAAAGATACCATGATGGACATTAAGTGTTCCCTAATTCCTACAGATAAAGCCCAATAAAATTAATATAGCCCAACTACTTAAATCAAATCCTTTTACTTGGTTTTTGTTGACATTGCCACTGCTTTGTTAAGTGACCGCGTAAATAGTAAGGCCAATTCAAATTAATATAATGCGTACAATAGTATGGCATGTGTCAATAATAGTTATCGATCTGAACTTCTCTTTCAATATGAACTAGTTCTCGTCCACCGGTGTATTAAAGGCTCGTCACATCAGCTGAATGCTAACTCGCCGGAAGCTCACCAGCCGCTCCCATGACGGCCGTCCTTGTCACACTGACACACTTATATAATGGATGAATGACAACTGAATTATAATATGTTGTGACATTAACAGAACGATAGTGTTCAAACATTGGAAAATTATTATATGCATTATGATATAATACATTCATTAGTACATACGTAACATGATATTAAAGTAAAAGATTTGGAAGCATCGGTCACTTATAAAGGCGTCAATGAATGTAATGAAATTTGGAAAGAGGAAAATCTTTAATATTTACTTTATAACATCTGTTTCCATACAGAATATAAAGCGTGAGTTGAAAGTATGTTCAAAATTAGATATCTTATTCAATCATTAGCATATGATACCAGGTAGAGGGCAACAATCTTTGTCTTCTCAGGTCAGGGTATTTTGTTTTCCGAACCGGTGGTAGTGTCAAGTGACCATCAATAAGGAAGTGTAATGCTTCTATATTGAATAAAGTTATTTGAGTTTGATTTAAAGCTTATTTCATGTAAAAAGAAAGCAAACTCTTGGCTTCTCATAATGTTCTGTGTATGAGACCAGCTCTAACTGTCTCCATAGGTGTGGAGTGCGAGGCGTTCAGCGGCAGCCCCCGCTCAGACAACTACCGCTTGGAGTTCGCCCGCGGCCGCTCCCCCCGCTCCCCGCCGCGCACCCCGCACTCGCCCAGCACCCCCCGCACCCCGCGACCACCGCGCCTCACGCCCCGCTCGCCCTCCTCAACCTCAGGATCGGACCTGTCAATACGACAGCCCATTAAGATCAGGTAAGTCCAAAACACCCCGCTTATAACTCCATTTAGTATAATCATTTATCAAGAACCTCTACAGAGAAGTCATTAGCAGACTGAAGCAGAATTTTATATTCGTACTTTATTATTTTACAGATTATAAATGCTTTTAGAATTTGTGTGCAGTAATGGCAGCCGGGTCTGAAGGGACGGAGAGATTTGTAGACTAATTGCACGAAACCAACGCTTGCACTAATTTAATCTAGACGCTAACTGTGAACGAGCTCGCTGTTCAGTCGTGATCATCATCTGAACAGTGAGCTTCTAACTTCGTAGTCTAACTGATGATTCTTTTCCCAAAGGTGGTGAAAACGAGTAGACTTTACTAACTAACAGCCTCACGACCGACGAGGTTAACGGTGAGTGCTTACTAAAGCTTGCCCAGTATGAGACGCCGCATTTATATGATCCGTTAAAAAATTAAATGTCCGTAAACGGTATGCATGACCTGCATGAACATACATATAGAATGTAACTGTTATATATAGCTATTGTTAATTTTTTGCATGTATTTAGATATTTTAATTTGACGACTAAACAATTACTTTTATACAAAAACATATTTAGTCCCATACATTTGATTTTGGACGTCCATGGACCTTTTCTTAGATATATGTATAATTTTCAAGCAGTGACTCTCACATCAGAGATATGACGAAGGAAGAAGATGCAGTGGAGTCAGCTATCATACCGACTATAAGACCAGGCCGGCCGGGCCCAACAGACCGGGCCCTGGCTGTTCGCTGATTATTATTACAAACATTATATACGAAAAATAAAGAATCTCCGACCATCTATTCTATAGGCTCTTAATTGAACAAGAAATTATAATAATTTAAGTGTAGTAATAGTTATTACAGATGCAATAATAATCGTCTTCCGTGTAAGCAAAATATTTGAGCTTTAATCTAGACTAAACTGTATTACTAACTCGTAGACTTATAAAAGGTGCTAAGATAGTGTATCTAATATAGTCCAAGAAAAATATGTATTCTTATTATTAAAGAGACTGCCACTCTATAATTTTTCATATTTTCCCCAAATGAATATAGTTTTAAGAGTATGTATTACTTTATGTGAGAGTAATGTCGTCTGTAAGCCAGTAGTTTAGTGTCGTGACCGACTAATGATGCTTTTGATCGATTACTCACAATACCTTTACAGCAACCCCATATAATTTCCACTTGTATATTATTTCATTGTTATACAACTTTCTTTAATTGTGGTTTTCTATGTAAATAGTTTTAAGGAAGGCAATTCTTTGGTGCAATATTCATATACAATACGTCGATAATGTCTTGGGTTCTAACGTTTTTTTTCCTCGACTTATAAAGTGTGCTTGAATTGCTCAATGTATTCTTACTCAAGTATCTAGTACATTATATTTATATTTAATCAGGGTAAAGAACCCTTATTTATTTTATATGTTCGTCTTTTAATATATAATATATCAGTAAGATGGTATATGTAACTTAGTGTAAGTGTTGTACATAGGAGTGAATGTATATTTGTGAAGACGTCTCTAATAAACATTGGTACTTACGAAGTATTTTTATTTAATATTATTTCCATATTTCTCCTTATATTTCATTAATAAATAAACACAAGCTTTAATGCTAGCATATTAATATTAATTCAAATGATTGATGTGTTCAGAGCAACGACCTTAAATTACTTCGACTCGTGACAAAAAAGAGCAAAAGAAAATATATATACAATTATTATAAATTTCCAAAGGAATATATAAAAATGTAGTTATTTTAGTAATATTTTGATATATTTAACAGAACAAATACTTATTCATAGAACCGACACACAATGAAACAGTTACTCAGTACTTAATAGTAAAAAATCAGGCATGCGCAAAACAACGAAAAGAAACACTGAAAAGGTTTACAGACTGCTGGTCTTTAGTCACGTGATGAATGTGTAGGGTGAAGAGTGTGTCGGAGTAGCTCCAGAAGTTTGGGAGTTAAAAGTTTAGGAAGTATAAAACAATACGAATAACTTATCCGAAATAAATAATAGTACTGAATTTCCATCGTAAATGTTTTAAAAAACAAATTTAATTATCTTTGAAAAACGCCGCCATAATTTGGCGGGAAGAAAGCATCCTGGAGAAAACTATAAATCTGTCACCGGAATTGCCATCGTCGGCGCCAATTCTGTCCGTGACGCTGAGCGAACGAGGCCACGGGACTCCACCTGGGAACCGTCGGGTGCAGATGACCACATCACGAATGGACAAACCTGACAACGAGCTGCGGGAGACCCTTGAAGATAGGGACCCCAACAAACTAAATCAACACATACAGGTCGGCCCTTAACTTTCTATGGCGTATGATTACTTTGTTGTATTGAAACAGTGTACACACAACCTTGAAATACTCCAACCGTATTGAATAGTTTGAAACGAACACATTGCGATACAAAACAAGGACGGATTGACGTTAATAATTAATTAAAGTTACATATAACATATTACAAACACTTATGACTACAGTAATTTTAATTTTAAATGTCTTAATTATACTTTGATATAACTTCTTCAAGTGGCTATGCAAGTATGCAATTTAGCTGCAAGTTCTCTTATTTCAATATACTCTGCTGGCACGATTTTTTTTTTAATTTTCACCAAATTTTTTGTCCTCTCTGCTCATCGTTACAAGTTGACATAGCTAATATCCATCGGGATACAACACTTACGCTCTTTGAAGTTTGGTCTCAATTTCCACTACATCTAAACATTCTGCAAGACTGTTTTATTTCGGATTCTCTTTATCCAACTAATGAAAAGCATCCAACGCTTGTAGTAAATTTGTGATATAGGTGATTTAGGTCAACGTTTAGGAAACATTATGTCTAGAATCTTATCTACTGCCTAGTAGGCTACATGTAGCATAAAAGTATCGTGACAAGAAGATGACCTCATGACCTTATCTGACCTTCACACCACCACACATAGACATCTTCTAATTTCTACTGAATCTCGGGTAAATATAGAAAGGTGGAAAAAAATGATTATTAATTAATAAAAATTATTATTGATTCTCGTTTTCAAAGTAACTCCTAGATTTTTGTATAATTATTCCTACATCACTGCACAGTACAAAACAAAGACGCTTTTGCTGTCGCTATATCTCTATGTATGTTTAAAATTTAAATTTTTAAAACTACGCAAAGGATTTTGATGCGGTTTTTTTATTGATAGAGTGATTAAAGAGAAAGGTTTATATGTATAAAATATCCATTAAATAGAAGAGAACTGTTATTATTGAGGTTTATAATGTGATGTCGTAAATAATTTCATTTTTTCGCTTACACTACAAACGCAGGCTGAACCCGACGAGATTGATCATAATAATGTACTATGTATTGTACACATTAAATAGATCTAAAGAAAACTATAGTCCAAGAGCCAGGGCCAGCCAGGCATTCGTTAATTTACAAAAGCTGAAAGTTTTTCTATAGATGTACCCAATATAGGTAGTCACGATCCGCAAATATGAAATTTGGGTCGAGGTGGCTTTGGCAGGTAACACGTTCTAAAGGTGTATAAAATTTTCTTTCACTTTCCTCTTAGTACAAAATTCAGTTTTGATATATTTTCATCATAATAATATTAGAAATCACGCTGTAAATTGCCCGGCACTTAGTAAGGTGGGAAACCCAGCCAGGCACCCCTAAATTATAAGTAATTTTATTTGTACTTTCGTTATAGTACATATATAAGCTGATTTTTATGTATGTTACTGAGGAAAGTATTAAATTATATTTACTCAGTAGCCAGGCAGTTTCGATGGTGCTTTTACCTGGCCAGGCACACTGAAAGTCTTCCGTAAGTGCGAGAACATATAACATAGGAACATATCCTCGATGAAGTTACGAATAGATATGTTCATGTTTACATTTTATAGGTATTTATTTACTGAGAAGACAAACTTAGTTACTTGGGACAATTTTTTCTCGTTAAATGCTTTTTCAAAAGTAAACGTACAGACGGTAGGCTCTTCTGTTTCTGAACAATACTTTTTTATGTGTTATATAGATCAATCATTGAGTGAAAAGATGATTCTAAATATAATTTGTTGCTGATATTATATACTAGATATTAGAATTGCGGATCGTGACTACCTATGTTGGGTACATCTATAGAAAAACTTTCAGCTTTTGTAAATCAACGAATGCCTGGCTGGCCCTGGCTCTTGCTCTACTACGTAATGGTACCTATACTATATATTATTTCTATCTGTTTTGGATAATTAAAAAAAAATGACATTTACTTTTTACATTTACGATTATTTTCAAAGCGATGTTAACCAATGCAACATTAATCCTTATCCAATTACAATACCTTAAATACATTGTTGATATGACCCTTTATAGCATGTGATTTAAATTTTATACCCGTCCAAAAAATAGCAACTATGTTTTTATATACAACTAGTAAACCCGGCGAACTCCGTTTCGCCACCAGAACGCTTTTACATAACATTTCGTTTGGTGATTAAAAGATGAAGAATATTTTTTTGTTTTATATTTGAAAAGGAAAATTTTTATTTCATTTCACAACAGTAATGAATTCATTTCGATTACAAAAATGAAGTGTTATTTAGTTGAACTTCTCTAAGTAACTGAAAGTGAATCCAAAGTAGATGCCGAATCGAAGCGTTATACGCGTCCGCAAATTATCCGTTTCATTGAAGTGCTCCTTTGTAAACCACAGTTTTTCTTTTTTGGTCTAACTTTAACACAAATAAAACGGATGGTTTCCAAACTCGTGAACACGCAAAATATAACTGCCCATGTGAAAAACAATGATTTTCCCCCTTTTCTGTTGAAATTTTTTGTTGTCACGGAGCCCGAGACCTTTCCAACGAATGCAAAACGTGGAAATTGGTTCTTTCGTTCTGAAGTTATAGCGTCAGGATGGAAAACCTGACTTATTTTTATATAGTAGATTTCTTACAAATATAAAATTGTCATCCATACGTCATTACATATCTGTCATTATACGTCAATAGCTGTCAATTGTGTTTCGTTATTCCACGTTTTATAGTGACTGACGTTTCATGTCAAGTCACGGGAATGCTGTCGAACGGGATAAAAAGTATCCTATTGCAATTTCCTGGTTCTAAACTACCTCCCTGCCAATTTTCAGCTAAATCGGTTCAGCCGTTTTTGAGTTATAAGTGGAGTAACTAACACGACTTTCTTTTATATAATATATAGATATATAGATGCTCAGTTCTTACGTAGTGTTTTAAGTATCAGCATTACACCCGTGCGAAGCCGGGGCGTGTCGCTAGTTTTGAATACAATGTTATCCTACCCTTCTTAATTATAACTTGTATGTAACAGTTGGCTTTTAGAATTCCAGTTTCAGATAAAGGAAAATTTATACAACTTTTCACATACCATGTATCAAGTTATATGCACGTAGAAAAACATATAATTTATATGGTCGGTAAGAAAGCAATATATTTCATTAAGTATATAATAAAGTATATGTAAAACATTATAAATTCGCACGACTGAATGCAATTAAGTTAATTTTCTTAACAAACTCGTGTAGTCAACACGCTACCGACTACTGGAAACGTTACAAAAAGTTCACACTGACCAAGGGCTCCGTATGAGAATTAATATTATAAACAAATATTACAAATTACCTAATGATTATTATTAATATCTTCTATCAACGTGTAGATATGGTTAATATTTCAATTACAAAACGATTGAATCATTACAACCAATAAAATTATTACCTGCCTGTGACTTTGGTATACAAATAACTTTTATTAAAAAAACTTTTTAATAAAAAATTACGACTTTAAATTAATGACATTATAGACATCTGTCAAACTGAAAATTATTATGACTTTGACGTAAACTACTAGTATGTGACCATGAAAAATCTTCTCAAAGCATGACTATTATTAAAATAGAATTTAAAAATAAATAAAACAATAAGTATACAAGGTTACTTATATACATTAAATTAAGGAACCCAAAATTAATTCAAGACGAAAATGAAAACATGTACCATTTAGTATCGCGTGACTACACAAGGGCGCGCGGACAACAAATGGACCTCCACGAAATTGTTTTAACCGAAACTTATCAGATTTTCACCTTTATAAATCATAAGTCAGCTCCATACTGCTATTTTGGTAACACAAATATTTAATGTTGAAAGTAATATGTTAATTTCGTGAACCTTGTACGGCGGTGGGCGTTCCATAGATAATAAATTAAGTCAAATATATATTTCAGTTGTTAATTTAATTAAGCTATGTTAAATAATCACATGGTTTACACCATATAATTTTTAAGAACAGTCTATTTGTTTTTAATAATAAAACAACATTTTATTTAAAAAGTTTTTTTACATCTGACGAATATTTTATGTAATGAGAGAGCTTACAGCTAAAAATTCGTTTAGTCTAATTATATACATATTAGTAATTTATATTTGTGAAAGGTCAAAGAAAGTCTAGGAGTTTACCAAGAACAAAAGATTTCAAAATAGCTGTATACTTTTTTTATGACGTGAGGATAAAATAAATTGTTTTGTTAAACAGATAGTTTGGGACGACATCATCGGCGAGCCAGAGGGCGCCCGTAGTCCGGAGTGTGCGTGGCGTCTAAGTCACATCTGCTTCAGACACGCGAGGAACCTCTGCTACACACTCCTGGCCGTGGTCGCCGCGCCGCCCTGCGCCTTCCTACTGGGATGTGGGTTCGCCTGCTTGGCTTTTGAGGTACCTATCATAGACTTAATGACCTCTAGATATTACTTGTTTAAACTACATCAACGGCAAAAATGGAAATAAACTTATTTATTCTTCCAACTACAATAAAATGTTCATACATATTAAATGGCTAAATAACACACAATCATCGGCGGTTAATATATAGACCAGTGCCGATAGCTTTTAAAACATAATTAAATTATAGTAGAATGAAACTCATTAGAAAAAGAGGGGAAAATTATAAAATTAAAGGAAAAATAATTTACGGGCGATCTGAGGTCGGGAAGGGTACGGGCCACGGGGATGGGTATTTAAGGGTAAAAAATGGGTTTTCTCGATTTCCGACAAAACTAAAAGTCTTACGGAAATATGTTATATGGCAAAGTTATAGCTAATAAAAAGATCTAAAACTTTTGTACTAACATTTTTTTCACATAACCTCAAATTTTATGTGGAAACTCGAAAAACCAAGTTTTTGGTTTTATATTTTTATCTCTTCCATAAAACAATATTTTGTCACGAAATTTGGTGAAAACTTTTCTTTTAACGTTACAAATGCACTGTAATTTATTTGATTAGAAATATTTATTGTTTTCATCATATTTTGAATTAATGTCGAAAAACCAGATTCATTTTCAATCGAAAAATCACCCGTCAAAATATCAGCTATTTTCAAAAATTTAGTATGTTTTCAATTTGTTAAAATCTCTATTTTCCGATGGTGAAGAAAAAAAATATAAGTTTCTTACATGCAGTACCATTTTTGGATAAAATAATCGTGTTCCTTTTAGTGAAATGACACGATATAATCGATATCGTTTGGAAAATGCTCTTTCAATTTATTTTTAATTTACTTTAATTTTTATAATATTCCCCTCCTTTTCTAATGAGTTTCATTCTACTATAATTTATTTTCACTTTTCATAAATTTTAATGGCTTCTGCACTGGCCTATTATGTCAAGAGAGTATTTAAATAAAGAATTGCATTACAAATTTGATAACATATTATAACATAAATTATTTTTACTAGCAAATCTGGTGTACGACATCGTGTCTACGCTGTGTGAAGATATATTTTTCTTCACTTCGAACCCTGGTACAGTCTTGTATGGCGGCGACGGTGGCGCCCGCCATGGAAGCGGTCGGTCACATATGTAGACACATTCGCGTCAATGTCAGACGAGACGCGCCAGAAGAAAGAGATTTATTGATAGTGTAACGTTCAGAAATTAATAACTTATTAATACTTAAATTGTTATTAAATATTTTTAAATAATAATGAGTACAAAAAATATGTATACGTTAAATAAAATGATGTCCCTATAAGAAATATATGTTTAGATTATTGAATTACATTTAGTTGCATTTGTTGTTGTATAAGTTAAATGAATTGTTTTTTATGTGTACTTGAAGTCACCGTATGTGCCTTTGATATAATGAGTTAATTGTTAAGAAGCTGCGTCTATCGAATATTATGTATGAATAATTATGGAATCTTATAATAAAATATTTTTAATTCTTTGTCCTTGTCTATCCCCTTTTTTTATAATAAAATTAAATTTTAAAAAATATTTGGCATAAAAAATCTCACAGACTAAATTTGAAGTTTTATCTATGACTGAAGGAGTCGTTGGCGGGAAAAATTAAGTGTTGTTAATAAGTGTGCTTTTAACTTCACTAAAAAATAAATACTTACAATTTTAATATTTTCTTTAATATTCATGAATAAAATGAGTGAGACCACAACAACAGTGGATCAAACTAATGTTACAGCGTTCACAAGTGGACGAACAGACGAAAGATATGTGATTGGAAAATACCACAGGTAACAAGACTCTTGTTACAAGAGAATAATAAAATAACATTATGAATTATTATATTACTTTCAAATTATTTATTATATTAAAAATAACTGTTGAAGAAACGCTGAGAAAGAGGATACAACAGACGGAAAGCAAGAAACTACCGAGGAAACTGATAATGAAGAGGTAAAATATTTCAAATAACTCGAGCCATTCCAGTATTATATGAATAGTACATATTTAGAATTTATTCGCCCTTATTTCTTAATAACACCAATATTAAAATTCTCACGCAATGTTAAATTACACAATACTTTACTTAAATCATATTGTATAGTTAGTTAAGAGTTATGAATAATTCACGCAATGTAACATTTTATTCACGCACCTTCGTCTAAGGAACTATTGTAATAGAAAACCTTGGAAATAAAACTATTTTAATTAAAGATTATTATTCAATAAAAAATCGTGTTAAGAATGATTATGATTTTACAACTAATATTATTTATACTTTCGTATTTAATGACACAAATAAAACTTACTTGTAGAATGTATGACAACTTTTCATACCTTTCAAACTAAATTTTGTAGTTCATGTAGTTAAAATCTTGTTTCTAATACTAGTTATATTAATAATAATATGATTCCGTCAGTGTATCCTGACGGTGTGTTGCAGAGCGGGAAGAATGGGAGCCGCGACCTATACTGTAGGGACCGGAGAGGTAAGGCTATATGAAATAATAGATACTATTGAATAAACTTCTTTAAATAGTCGAACAAATAAAAGTATATATATACTAGCTTTCCACCCGCAGCGTCGTCTTTCCCGCAGATTCTCAGAATCTTTTAAAAGTCTGGGATAAAAACTATCTTATGTCGTTTCTCAAGGTCAACTCTATGTCTGTACCAAATTTCATTAAAATCAGTTCAGTGGTTTAGGCGTGAAAGAGTAACAGACAGACAGAGTTACTTTCGCATTTATAATATTAGTAGGGATTAATGTTAAACTATATTTACAAATTTTTATGATGACACAGAAATCATGTCTATAAAGATACTTTAAGTTAATTGTAATTGTAAATTTAAATATGAAATACGAAATAGAAAATAAAGAATGAAGAATACGAAGCCATGACTCAGTATGACAGGATTTAAACCTGCTAGCTCTAGAAGTTAGGGTTCCAATTACTTAGTATCACAATAATGTGAATTCAAATCCCTCTCGGGTCGATAAATTTATCATTTTTATTTAAGTATCAGATCAACATTAATTTAATGAAAAAAAACAGTAATGTGTGAATTATATAGGGTTACAATCAGAGGTTCTAGAAAAACTACGAAACTTACTTATATGTATATTATAATAAAAACTACATATTAAAATATAACCTACATCTACGACTACATGTTTGCCCAGATGTTAGGATAGCAATACCGTTCCATAGCTTGTGTGGTATTAGGAATCTTCTGGTTCACACGGCTTGGTATTCGTTCCGTTGAGTCAGCGGTGTCACTTGTTATATATTTTATCCATACAAGGATGCCGCTCCGGCGATGTTTATTTATCCCTACTAATATTATAAATGCGAAAGTAACTCTTTCTGTCTGTCTGTTACGCTTTCACGCCTAAACCACTGACCTGATTTTAATGGGTACAGAGATAGAGTTGACCTTGAGAAAGAATATAGTATAGTTTTTATACAAAACTTTTGAAAGATTCACTCCACGCGGGCGGAAAGTTAGTTTCTTAATAAGTAACATGAGCTTAAAGTCTAAAAGCAATGATCTTATTTGATCAATCATCACTAGCTGCAAATACTAGAAGAGATAGTAGACCGTCCGCCGGACCACCAGCTGTTCCAAGCGTTGTTCCAGCAGACGGAGCCGGTCAGGGTGGTGGTGGACGGAAAGACTCAAGGATCACTCATCACTGTGATCAAGAAACTGGTGCTCAGTGAGGATAGTGAGGCTACGTGCAAAATAGACGTGGTCTCCGCCAAGGAGTACAGTGAGTGATAATAAAAATATACATATATGAATGAAACTAATATTACTAATATGAATGAAATCTAAGATTTTCGCGAGTCTGATTCATTAAAATAAAACTAATATTTTTCTAATGTACTAAGCGATTTTATTTTTGTAAAAAACTTTGCTGAAAAGTAACCGAAACGTCGGGAGTGTGTAGTTTTGTTTACAAAAATATTTTGTTTTCAAAAATAAAATCGCCTAGTCACTACCCTATTCATCACTGGCAGTTCATAATTTTTATGAAACGATTCAATTAAATTCCCTATTAAGTTTATTATTAAACTAATCCAAAATAGGCCAGATGCCTTTAAAAACAATGAAAAGTGAAAATAAATTATAGAAGAATGAAACCCGTTAGAAAAGGAGGGGAATATTATAAAAATTAAAGGAATAATAATTTACGGGCGATCTGAGGTCGGGAAGGGTACGAGCCACGGGGATGGGTATTAAAGGGTAAAAAATTAGTTTTCTTGATTTCCGGCAAAACTAAAAGTCTTACAGAAAAAAAATAAATGGCAAAGTTGTAGGTAATAATAAGATCTAAAACTTTTGTAGTAAAATTTTTTTCACATAACCTCAAATTATATGTCAAAAATTCGAAAAACCAAGTTTTTGGTTTTATATTTTTATCTCTTCCAAAAATCATCTTTTTGTCACGAAAATTGGTGAAAACTTTCCTTTTGATGTACCAAATACACTGTAATTTATTTGATTAGAAATATTTATTCTTTCAGCTTATTTTGAATAAATACCGAAAAATCAGGCTTATTTTCAATCTAAAAATTACCCGTCAAAATATATAAAAAATATATAAGTTTCTTACTTGCAGTACCATCTTTGGATAAAATAATCATGTCTCTTTTAATGAAAAGACACTCGACATCGTTTTGAAAATGCTCTTTCTAATTTATTTTTAATAGTTGTGTACTCTGAAAGCTCTCCAGATAGCCCCTCTCATAGGTAATTTAGAGAAAATTTACATTAAGCTGGTAAAACTATTAAAAATAAATTGAAAGAGCATTTTCCAAACGATATCGAGTGTCATTTCATTAAAAGGGACATGATTATTTTATCCAAAAATGATACTGCAAGTAAAAAACTTATATTTTTTTCTTCACCATCAGAAAATAGAGATTTTAACAAATTGAAAACATACCAAACTTTTGAAGATAGTTGATATTTTGACTGGTGATTTTTCAATTGAAAAAGAGGCTGATTTTTTCGGTATTTATTCAAAATAAGATGAAAAAATAAATATTCCTAATCAAATAAATTACAGTGCATTTTTAACATTAAAAGGAAAGTTTTCACCAAATTTCGTGACAAAATATTGTTTTTCGTATGAGATAAAAATATAAAACCAAAAACTTGGTTTTTCGAATTTCCACATATAATTTGAGGTTATGTGAAGAAAATGTTACTACAAAAGTTTTACATCTTTTTATTACTTAAATAACTTTGCTATCTAACATTTTTCCGTAGGACTTTTAGTTTTGCCGGAAATCGAGAAAATCCATTTTTTACCCTTAAATACCCATCCCGACCTCAGATCGCCCGTAAATTATTTTTCCTTTTATTTTTATAATATTCCCCTCCTTTTCTAACCGGTTTCATTCTACAATAATTTAATTATGTTCTAAAAGCTATCGGCACTGGTCTAAAAGCGACGCGCCGTCATATACATTCATACGAATATCATCAATAAAAGGTTTCAATCAAACTCCCATTGAAATCCATTCCCCTATTCATATGTCCCCAGGTTTCGAGTCATGTAAGCGTCGTATATTCTCCCTCTCGCTCCCTCACGAGCCTGCCAACTGTTCGGATGAAGAGAGGACTCTGTTCATCCGAACAGTGGTAGATTTCACCCAGAGCCAGACGGTGCACGCTTTAGGTACTTTGCTACGGTACATGGACCTGCATTGGTCTAATTGGAGCATGAACCTTCATGGGAGACCGGAGTACATCAGCTTGAAGAGAATCTCTTTGTAAGTGTTATGTATTAATTATGCTTGTTATTATTTAATAATAATATGATGTCAAGTATAATGTAGGTAGATTACTTTATAATATTAGTTGCTGTCATTCAGTTTGCTCCTTAGCACAATACATACATGACAAAGTTAATATCGTTTTATTGAATACTACAGTAAGATACCCATTAGTATTGTTACCTTTAAATAATAGGTACTAATGTTAAAATGCTTATAAAACCATTAACGTCACTAGGATGTATGTATATCCTAGTGATTTAGTTAAATGACAAATTTTGTCATGCATGGACGTTTATTAGGGTTTATTTCATGCAAAAACTGCTAAAAAGATTTTGTTGGAAAAAATAAGCTTAGACATCATAATAACGTTTGGATCTATCACAATAAATTAAAATTCCCATGGAATACGGGTAGTTATATTTTAAATAAAGTAACTTTTCATTATTTAATTATAACCATATGTGATTTATAAAGCAGACGTAATTCACTTCTCTATGAATCTGATGAATTCTAGACTAAGTCTTAATAAAGATAAACAAAAAGAAGAGCAACTAAAATTGAATCCCTTAAAATAATACTAATATTATTCGGATTTACTACCCATTTTAACCACATACTCCCGACGTTTCGGTTACTTTTCATCAACCGTGATCACGGACAGACGAGATGTGAATGTCTGTCAGTTGGTCTTATTATTTATCACATACCGCCAAAACTTCTTAATTTCTGGCGTACCGCTCTAAATGCTGTCAGAATGTCTCTTTAATCTTATACATTTTTAACTGCTGATTTCCCTGTACAGAAAGGACATCGTATCTATAGACGAGGACACATACAAAGGTCTCCAGATCTTCAGTTCCTTATCTCACCCCAGCGGGTTCAGGAGAGGAGTTCGCGGGACAAACAAGGAGGGACTGAGTTTATTTCAGTTGTTCAGCAAGTGTTCCTCTAAAGTGGGTCATCGACGGATGAGGTATAATTGAGGGCTGATGATGAATAGATTATATCAAAATTATTATGGGACTTATATTGCCATAGAACGATCGAAGCAAAGTCTTATAAGTAAACTCAATACATTTTGGTGCCATTTTTTTTTCTAATATGTTCTTCAGTAAAATTTGGTATAAATATAACTCCCAAATATGGTGAAAGGAGAAATAATTCTTCCGTAACATTTCTTTTGTACCAGAGTCTTCTTGCGCCACCCGACTACAGACATTAATATTTTAAAGAAACGCCAACAAGCCATCGCCTTCTTCATGAGACCACAGAGCGACTCTCTGTTCAGGAATATATGCGCGTCTCTCAGATACGTGAAAAACGTCAACGTAACTAAAATGTTTCGTATCATGTCATAAAAAGTGTTCCTGTATGAATTCTATAGCAATATTAATGTTCTAGGGTATCCTCACTAAAATAAAAGCGTTATCAGCTAAACCGTATCAGTGGAAATCATTATACAACGTAAGATATGAAGTCTTCGTTCTTTCTTTCTTATAACTTTATTTATTTTCTGCTTATATATTTAGGTCACTTCTTATCACTCCTTGTATCTTGTCTCACATAACATTACCATTACCACCGCTATCCTTCCAGTGTATCTGTCACAGATATCAGATTTCTTCTCGCATAGTAATTCCTTACCCTATTATTTCTTGTCATTATACACATATGTCTCAAAATATTACAGATGTAATTTTTCTTATCTCCTTAAACTTAGTTCTATACAACATAACAGATTTAATTCCCTCATATATTACTATTAACTCTTCTGATTGTTTATATTTTGTTAATTCCTTCTAAAAAACTTAATACTTATATACTTCCTACGGGTCGCTTCCACAGACTTTATACCACGTGGTGCTTATATGCGAAATGTGTGAAAACACCAAAAACGAATATCTGGGAGAATTAGCGGCTTTTGACACGAACAAGCTGTATGAGGTATCATAGTTTACAAAAAAAATGTCTTATCTGTTCAAAGACAAAAATATACTTTATTTATTGTTGTATAGATGGCGTTGTATATGAATAGGATCATAGACTTCGACGCTTCCAAAACTGAAGGGAAATTCACGGTGAAGGCTGGCGTGGACCCGGAGCTTGATATCAGTGAGTTACTATGAACTACCCTACAAACATCGTTGTTTTAGCGATAAGGCCGCCTATTGTACATTTTTCTTTTCTTTGTTTTTCTCTTATTATTTTTGTCTATATTGGTGTGCAATAAAGAGTATACAAACACCAGACTTGGTTCAATATGTCAGAATGGAAACATGACGTCACAGATTGTATGAAGAATGATTTAATGTAATATATTGTTATATAGAGAAACAAACTATGGCGAGTCTCCACGGACTGATGACGGAGACGGCCAAGGTGGAGCTGGAGCGACTGCCGAGCTATGTGGAGGAGTGTACCATGATGTACATGCCGCACCTGGGCTACCTGCTGGGGGTGAGGGGCGAGGAGCTGGGGTCTGGAGACGAAAGGAAGGAGCTGCCAAACATGAGGTTTATGGTGCGAACACACACATATATGTATATACTAGCTGCGCCCCGCGGTGTTACTTTTCGATATTTTCGGGATTTCCGGCATGTCAAGTGATGTTAAGTGATTCCTATGTGTTATTCCTGGACGTCAGCTTCCTATATACAAAATTTTATCAAAATCGGTTCAGCCGTTTGAGCTTGAAGAAGTAACAAACATACACACACTCACAAACTTTCGCAATCATAATATTAATAAACGATTGTTCAGTTTCAGAACAACGACTACATACACTACAAGAGCAAGGGGTGCGAGGGTGAGTCATTAGTCATTTATTTATTTAATTATAAAAAGAGTACGTATAACATGGTTTTACATTTAAAGGTGTCAACATAAACTCATTCAAGTTTTTCCGAACACCAGTGTCGCCAATTTTACATTTTACACTTATACATATAACTAATGCATAACACTAAAATAACTAAAGAAACAAACAAAATAAAACAAAAATATTCGATACAATTAAATACAAAAAAATAATTAACTACATAATATTTTATTTGTACAGAATATTAATGAAAAATATTAACGAGGGTAATATAAGTATAAACATGTGATAGAACATGTATTATAGTATAGCTCATGACATGTGCGTAGAATTAGACGTGGTTCTCGGCGACACGTACCCGGAGCTGGCCGCTCACGAGACACGCGTCATGATGAGGCTCACGAGCGTGCTCCTGGAACATCTACACGCGCTAACAGACCTTGTGGACCGATGTGCTGAGCTGGATTGGTGATTATATATACTACGATCCTATATGTTATATATTAGAGTCGCAGGTTCGAATCCTGCTCGTATCGAGTGTTAGCTTGACATTGTTTAAATTTTAAAACATTTTACAATATAACTTATATATTTAAATGAGCAATTCTTGTATGTATATTAATAACTGGTTTATTAATTTATTTTGTGTTTTTTTTTTATTTCGTGTAGGCATTTTTAAATGAATAGGTTAAGAAGACAAAACAATATAAATCACAATTAAGTTCTTAGTCTAAACTCAAAACAAACTCTCATTGACTTCCTGGTACTTAAAAACGCCATTTGCTGTTTTGTCGTTAAAGCAATTAGTAAAATCAATTAGCAAAAAGTAGTATTACTATTCGCCAATAGATGTCAGGAAGAGTAATATTTTAAACGACTCCTTTTTGATCTGTTTTTTTAAAAATCGGCTTCAACGAGTTTCATGAAATTTAAATAATAGGGATTTCATTAAAAAAAAATTATTACTTATAATTCCTAAACACAGAGCAAAGCTCGGTAACCAGATATTAACTATTTATTACTAAATTCCGATACGTTCATATGTTCATAAACTTCAACTATAACAATCATCACAATATATTAACCATGTTAATCTGTTATATCCAGTATTATGACAATATCGAAGGTGTGCAAAGAATACAGCTTCGTCCAGCCGTCTTTAACTGAGGATAAGAGGCTGGTGATACACGAAGGTCGGCACCCGCTGCTGCTGGCGGCCGGCGAGCAAGCGTTGCCCAACGACCTCATCTGCTGCGAGACACGAGGATATATCAAGATCATCAGCGGACCCAACGCTAGCGGGAAGTCCGTCTACATCAGGCAGACTGGTCAGACACACACACACACACACACAAATACACGCAGAACTCGACATACTTACTCATAAAATATACACTATGCTTCAAAACACACATTTGGATACATATATACATACTAGCTGCGCCCCGCGGTGTTACCCGCGGATTTCCGGGATATAAAGTAGCCTATGTGTTATTCCTAGACGTCGGCTTCCTGTTTACAAAATTTTATCAAAATTGGTTCAGCCGTTTGAGCGTGAAGAACTAACAAACATACACACACACTCACAAACTTTCGCAATTATAATATTAGTAGGATGTACTTGAATTCATTTTCAAAGAAATCATTAAATAGATATAGAATCCCAGTGGACATTTGTGCGTCAGCTTGTAGACCAAAAATTTTATATATTCGCGAATTTTAAAACCCGTTGCGACAATAGAGCTTACAGTTCCTTGGGAAACCAACATCCACAAAGACGTATAAGTGTAATAAGTGTTACGCACGTACTAGGAATAGGTTCGTTCTAAATTTGTATTTCGGTAGAAGTGAGAACGAGAGGTATAACAGCTAAATATCTCTATAACCTACTAAAGGATTTGAGACTCTCGAGAACTAATATTAGATCATTCTTGGAAGGCACCCCTAGTAGATTCTTTTCAAATTTTATAAGTAGAAAGAGGAGTTTGGACGGTGGAGGTGACTGTTAACGCGCGTTAGATAGGACCCTTAAACCTACACCTGGGTCTCAAGTCCCAGTCACTGTTGAAGCTCCTCTCACTGCAACGATGGACCCGACACCCGCACGGTGAACACATTGAATGCTAAGAACTTTCGTCTCATCAATATTTGAAACGATTTTCTTTATATTCATTTATTATTTCATCATCTAAAACCGTGTTAGGAGAAAATACATATGGTTTTAACTTCCGTTTATCAGAACACGATTCTGTATGTCCCAGGTCTGATAGTGTACCTGGCGCACATCGGAAGCTTCGTGCCCGCGGAGAGCGCCACCGTGGGCATCGTGACTCACATCTTCTCTCGGATACAATGTACGGAGAGTATCGCCACGCACATGTCCGCCTTCCTCATAGACCTGCGGCAGGTAACGAAGGTTACCACGAACCTGGTTGTAGGACTTCATACAAAAAAAATCAATAAATATACTCAATATTGATAATAGCTTGATAACTACCATCACCCGCTCCCACGTTCCTATTCATCTGTTCATCGACCTTCTTCCAGATGTCGCTAGCTGTCCGCACGTGTTCCAGCCGGTCGCTGGTCCTCGTGGAGGAGGCGGGCGCGGGCACGGCCGCCGCTGGAGGCCTGGCGCTGCAGGCCGCCGCGATACACTCACTCACCACACACGCGCCCTACACACTGCTGGCTACACACAGCGACCTGCGACCATACGTTATAGACAGCACACGGGTCACATTTATGGTAAGGATGAGGGATACACCAGATCCACCTGGATTCATAATCCAGGAGCTAATAACATGCTTCAAAAGGGAATAGATTCAATAATTAAATCGACTTCAGAACATACTTCATAAGTTCATTCATTTAATGAGTTTATGATCGATAGCACACCTTGGGAATGAAACGATCGCCTCCTGGCTATTTCATCTCATATTAAATCGTTTATATAATATATGATACAAATATATATTTAAAAAAAACCTGCTGAGTTTCTTTCGCCGGTTCTTCTCAGGTCAGGGTATTTTGTTTTCCTTACCGGTGGTAGTGTCTCAAGTGACCATCAATAAGAAAGTGTAATGCTTCTATAGTGAATAAAGTTATTTGAGTTTGAGTATAAATGCTGTATGCTCTCCATCCTCATACAATCTGAATGTATATATATACATTTCCATCGGTCAGTACATGGACTACGTGATCCGAAACGGCGAGCCCGTGTTCCTCTATAAGGCGGTGGAGGACGACGGAGGCCGGGGGGCGAAGGCCGAGGGCCTGGCGCTACAAGTGGCGGCCTCTAGCGGACTACCGACTGTGGTTCTGGATAGGGCGAGAGACGTACTTGACGCTATACGAGTTAGTCATGCCCACACTCACTATAACATCATCAATAATACTACAATATAGTTTAAATTCATCAAATTCTTCTTACAGACTAACTCGTTGCCGCAACCCAACAAGAAGTTAACGGAAAAACTGAATAAAATGACTGAAATAATAAAACACGAACTACAAGCGGATGATGTTTAATGACAACGATTAGTTCGGACACACCGCGTACAGTAAAAAACATGTCAAAATATAAGGAAACTTACATACTAATGTTGTTGGCCTTGGAATGTACAGTCGACACAGACCTCATACATTTAATAAAATATATTAACATCTATTTATAAATATTGTTTTAGATAACATCTCCATATACATATAACACATAACTGTAAGCGTTAGTAAAGCTTCAGCTAATATAGCTTAAATCATCGCATTAAGCTACTCTGGTAATCATTAAACACGGCTGAGTTTAACAAACAATATATAATAATTTTTAGATTCCATAATAATGTAAATATAAAACAAAAACAACCGAACATGTATATCACAGCGTGAGGGATATGTTCCTAACAAATAATATAATGCTCAGCCGTTGACTGTGAACTTCCCTTTCCTTATCTCTGTTATCTCTTCTATCTCTGTATCTCCCTCATCTACATATTCTCTATCTCCCTCATCTACATATTCTTCATCTTCCTCATCAGCTCCTCCAGGTCCTCCTCAGCGGCCACCGCCGAGCTGGTCTCCGGTGTACTGCTGTCTCCAGCCATCGCGTATGCCACCTACACACGTTATAATATAGTTTAGGGATTTCTTTCAATTCAATGTTTATTATTAATATTTCTTCAAATTACTCAAGTGTTTGTTATTGTATTTATTGACTTTCTGCGACTATGCCCTTGGAGTATATTTATTACAATGTCCCTTTTCAAAACCGGCCCAGTACCCCTTTCATACACAACAATTCGATTACTAGAACATTCCAAAATATTCTCATTTATATTTCTACTCGTTAACAAATACTAACAATAGTGTCGTTCACTCCTCAAGAGATGGCGCTGTCGTCTCAATATCGAAAACATTTTACAATATTTTCTACAACATTCCAAGCTATATAAATTCGTAGAGTCGACGTACCTGAACTCCTTCCACGAGCTTCAATCCCGGGGACTCTTCTTCAGGAGAGTTCTCATCCACCAGACTGATACCTGGTTTAGGGAAACAATCAATTTAGTATAAAATTGCAATTTAAATCCAACTATACTAATGGATCTATAATGTATCCTGACCCCACTCGTTGTCTTCGTGTAAGGGCGCGGGGTCTTCTGTGACCTCGGTTGCAAGCTCTACCGCGGGCTTCGCCGAGTATTCGGACTGTCGCTGACGACAAAACGAGTCGTCACATTGAGGATTCGGCTGCGGAGAAGAATCTAGTTAAACTCAAGGTTACCACACCCTAACATATAATATGTAATGATAGTTACCTTCAAACTCATCCGAGGAAAGTAGTCAGTCATAGCGCTGTACCCCAAGTAGTGGGACACGTTACCGAAACTCAGCAGATATTTGAGTGTATTTTGAACTGGAACCAGACAAAATATATCAGAATATAAAGATTTATAACCTCTGTTTCAACTATAATAAGTGTTGTAGTATATAGTACCGAGGAATCCGGCCACAATGCCCATAGTGGTAGGGAGTGAAGCGGCACACACTCCATCACGCTTCAAGGTCTTCTCATCAATATTAGACGCCACCACCAGCGGCGGCGCGCACTGGAGACATTAACATAAAATACAATAAAGACACCACTACACCTACTGCTTGATATAAAAACATAAAATGCTTCATACAACACTGGTTTGTACCATGTGTATTATATAGGAAATTTATTATGTACTGGACTTCAAATTAACAGATTAAGAATATTGTAGTCTCATATCTATACTAATATTATAAAGCTGAAGAGTTTGTTTGTTTGTTTGAAAGCGCTAATCTCCGAAACTACTGGTTCGAATTGAATAATAGGAGCAAAGATATAGTGGTAAATGTGTAAAAAAAGGGAGAAATTATTTCATCTTTGAAGCCTTCCGTTGCGTGCGCCGTGAAAACGGTTCAAGATACACAAAAAATATGTATTAAAGAATAATAGCTCTTTTAATGATCTAAAAAACAGTCCGCGACAGTATATGTCTATCTTTTAAGATTAACTCACAAAAACCGTTTTTATGGTACCTAATTTGGTCGAAATAATTTGTTTAAGTTGTATCAACATAATAATATTAATCTTTATTCAAATAAACAAATAAAATATGTTGTTGGTAAAGAGTACTTCATTGTGAATAAAAAAAACATAGGTTTTATCCTGAAAATTCTACGGGAACTCGACCATTCCGAAAACCCCGCAAGAACGGCAACTATGTGGGAAGAACCAAAAATCTGCCGGAAGTCACTATTCCACGCGGACGAAGCCGCGGCAAAAGCTAGTGGAATAATAAATTTTGCATCTAAACAATAACAATATGTCATGGGCAGGATCCAATGAAATTGGGACAAATACATATGTACATAAAACCACAAATTCTGTGGGGTTGTTAAAAAAAATCTTATTAAAACACCTTCACAGAAACCTAGGGGTTTAATTGTACATTATATATACATATATCAATAGAAGTATACTTACTGCAAAGCAAGCAGTCTCCCCTGGTATAATAAACTGTATGTGTCCGGACACAGCATTCTCACTAACACCAGACTCAAACCACTTCTGGTTAAGTTCATTGCAGGCCATGTTGATAGCCATGCGAGCCTCGAAATTATCAACACAACTCAGCACCAGGTCTACAGGGCCATTGGTTAAGCTGCCTGTTCTGTGGGAGACAAAAAATGTAATATGTAACAACACATATCTTATTCAAGAAAAATTATAATTCAAATATTTAAAATTACCTAATAGTATCACAGAAATTTTGGAAGTTGTCGACTGTAGTGATATTATAGTTGTATGCATCAATGGTGACATCGGGGTTGATAGCTCTTAATGTGGCTGATGCTGCATCAACCTTACTCAGGCCGGCCTGGTGTGGTTGAAAGAACAGGCGGTTCATGTTGGCCAACTCCACTTTGTCATAATCGAAGAGAATCAACTGAAATTATATTAAAACCTTTAACAACTCAAAAACAGGAAAAACAAAATTTCTACTGTTTAATATACCATACAACCTTGTTTTACTATTTGTATACTAATAATACAGTAACTTATAAATATTTTTACCATTCCATTGCTGGATGTATTACAAATAAGTATTGAAGGAATTGTTCATAAAAAAAGACTTGTGGAAAACATTAAGCTAAAATATTATATATAAGTATCTACATTGTTGTAGTCACCTTTCCGATGCCACATCTAGTCAACATCTCGGCTGTGACACTGCCAACTCCACCAACACCCACCACAGCTACTGACATCTCACGGATCTTCTCATAGTTGTTCACTATACCCATACGCTTTAAAGCCATGAGTCGACTGTCAGGAAAATAAATTAATTAAAAACAATATTGAACAAAGTTAAATTGTATCATTTGTTATTTTCCCAATGACCAAAAAGTCCATGAAATAATGTGCAGCCTTTGGTGACAACTATAATATTTTATTCGTTGTTTATATACTGAATTGGATAGGGAAATAAAACTAATTTCTAATATTGAATTCAGTTACAAAATGTATTATGTTAATAAACACCATATAATATATAATAAATTAACCGCAGATAAAATGGCTGAAATTATTTATGAGTAATTAATAAATAATAAGGTAACTTAATATAACATATGTTATGAATAAACAAACTACCTGTAGGGATTGGAATCCACTACTTCAGAAGACATAACTTCGATTTTTTGTCGAACTGCCCCAACATTTCCTTGGACTGCTGCAAGTTTAGCTTCCAATTCAGACACTTTCTTCTGCAATTCTTCTATAGAAGACATTTTTAATTCAATATATAAAACTTTCACGTTGATACAAAATATCGAATTTCGTACAAACTCAATGACAAATATTTAACAGCTGACACGTTGACATTTCAGCCACAGGAATTAACGCGTTCTATATAAGAATTCTTAATATGTATTTTTATGCTTTATATTATCGCTTATTGAAAAAGTAGTTTTTTATGGAATCGAATGAAACACATATTTTGTTTTTTATATAAAAAAAATTAACTATAAGTGGAATTGCATAAACGGTCTCAAACTTATGTGGAAGGTAAATCCAAGTAAGGAATAAAAAACAAATCATAAAGGTACGCAGTGTAATTTGTCAAGGTCAAGGACAATATAACAACGCGTATATATTAAGAATTACATTTTAAAAATGTTTTTTTTTCTGAAAACGAAACCAAAATTTGGAACTCATAATATAAGAATAACCTAATATAGTAATAGAAATAAAAAAAATCAGCAAATTAACAGAACCAATAAATGTGCCATCAATTGATATAAAAAAAAGTGATGAGCAAAAATCAACCCAAATTACTTTCTCCCGCTGTGATTACAACCTTATCTCAAGATGAATGTTTTATAAGACAATAAAATATAATCCAACTAACCTCATTACTAACTGATCGGATGAAATATCAACCACATCGAACAATAGATATTACACATTAAATAACCGATACGCACTTACAAGTTTTTGTTACAAAATCATGAACACGACACCGTCCGTTCAATAAAATATAATATAAATATAAAAAAAAAATCACGTAAAACAATTCTAGTCAGAATGATACAACGTTTATTGTGTAAGAAGTTCATTCGATCTGATCCTTCTATCCACTTCATACAAGTTTCATCCAGGGCAAGCTGTGCTCCCTCACATAAATAATTAAAAGACATCAGTCGAGGAAAATCTTCCTATTATTAAACTGAAGTGTAACTCTCCCGTGGAAGTTTAACGAAACTATATGGTTTTTAGGAAACATCATTTTCTGCTAATTTACGGACTGCTTGATACGCAAACATATTTATCAAACTTTTTATTCTTAACTAATTATTTTTTGTCACAAAAACTACTTAAAATTAGCTGATTTCATAAACATGCTTAACATTAAAATAAAGTACGACTTTCAACTTCTTTATCGATGATTAAAAATATTATTCCTAAAACCACAAAAAAAAATTGTAATTACTTAATTAACAATTAGTATTGATTAATTTCAAACTTCATCTGAAATAATTCATGCTGTAATTGTTGTATCAGGAGAAATTTTATATAATCTTCTTTTACCTGGAAATTTCCCAGCTTTAGCCAGGGTCTGCCTTACGTGTTGGGAATAGTTTTGGCTATTTGTTGTTACGACCGGCCGCCTGCCAGATATCAACCCTCTTTGGGAATGCATTAATCAGTGATGTCTAAATACTCTTAGAAAATACATATGACTCGGAAAAAACACATTGGTACTTGCCAGGGCCAGGATCGAACCTGCGCCCTCATGCATAAGAGGCGGGCCTTTTAACCACTAGGCCCCCACTGACTTTATGTCATTTTACGTCACTGACTTTTATGAGAAATTTTATATACCGTGAGGAATAAACCATGAGGAAGCTAAGAGAAACTTATTGAACATGAATGCTGTGATGATGCTGTTAAATTTTTAATATTTAAAAAATCTTTTTTATCATAACATTTTAAGTTGCTAAGTTAAATGAATTATATTATTGTCATATTTTATCGTAAATATTTCTGAAACTGTTTTTGTCAATCACAAGTCACAAATTTTGGTCTCAATTTTTGAATCGCTCTCAAGGACAAACATAAAACTATGTAAAAACAACATAAATATAACCATCTCTCAGCGCCATCTATAGTCAGTATCGTCATCTCACACAACACAACTATTGTGATCCCGTCAGAATCCTCTGGAATTTCCTGATAACATATTGGTGATAACATGTGTGTTATTCTGATATTAAGTATATTAGATACTATTTACTGAGAATTTTGTGCGTGAGAGAGAAATAAACATTGACGCAGTTAAAGTTACGAAATTTCGTATCTAGTACAATATTATTATTCTCATTAAAATCCCTACAAAAACCAAGCCACCAATAATTACAATTTGCGAAAAAATATTGATGAAATTTTTTATTTTACTTTATTATGCAAATTCGACTATTATAAGTATTTATGAGGCTTGACTTGTAAAACCGAACAAATGCCAGTGAACTGAATTGATAATTTAAAAAAAATAACTACATAGTTAAACGAATTTGTAGGGTAATTCTAAAAAAATATAAGTAAAGAAAAATTATTACAATAACTTTCAGGTACTAAGTAGAGACGGGAGACTTACTAGTCAATAAACTTTGATAAAATGAAGAAAATAGAAGAATATTTGATACTACTGTAGTCAGCTGCTTATGGTAAGTTATATAAAAATAGTTCACTAAGTCTAGATAGACATACACAATTCAAAAAATTGCTATATAAAAATCGTGTCCAATTTTGAATACAAATTAGGAGTTTCTTTTAAATCTTAAAATAAACGTGGCCGCTACAATCCCAGACCTTGAAAGTTTAACGTCACTATTTTTACATTACTTTTATTTGATATATTGTTCTATAAAATAAAGAAATAATTAAATAATTGGATACGAGGAGTACGGACGCACTCCGCCTGCTTACATTACATCCCTTCGTTGAACTGTCATTAACTGGAATAACAACTAAACTTAATTAGATTAACTTACTGAGGTTACAGCCCGGAGTCTAGACTAGATTTCAGTTTAGTTCATGATTACTTCAATAATTTAACTATGAATTACTTACTATTACGATTATTGCAAGGAGGCATAGCTTCCTCATCACTCTCCTTAAAAAAAAATTTTATGTTTTTGTCTTGACCGCTCTTGTTCCGAAACGGACAAACTAAGGAGATTTATTTTTTAATGGTTTTCAGTAATGAAAATTCGATGCTGTACTTAACTTAAACCTGAATTATCTATCTACCACGAAATGTCATGTTACAGTTCATTTTCTATTTAATATAGACTGTGTATGTTATCAATAACGATAATTTCTTTTACAACTGACTGTTGTATAAATGAATAAACATTCCAACCGACCTGTATATAATGAACATCACACATTTATGTTAAACTTTATGATATTTTCGTAATTCTTGTTAGTTTAACTATACAGAAAATGAAACGCGTATATTTTTAATGGAAAAGAATTGTTAACGATATAAGAATAACAAAATTTATTCGTTTTAATATTATAAAAAAGGAAATCATTTAAAATGCGTTATTCATATTAGCATAAAATAAAACACGATCCCAATAAATTCAAACTTTCATATTTCCTCAACGTTCAATGCTTCTTCTGAAAGGTATCTCAACAAGACTTATAGGAAAATAAAGGAAAATTAATCACTAAGGGACGAAAGTTCCAGAATATTTGATGTACTTTTTCAAATTAGTACATAATTTGATATTTTTTTGATAATTAGTGGCGATCGTGGGGCGTCCGTTTAGTAATAGTCAGAGCACCGCGGCGAGCGCACCGCCGCTGACATGAAGAACTGAAACGAAAACAAGGTACTGTTATAATATATATTATTATTAAATTACATAATAGAAATAGGATATTATTATATATTAAAGGAATTAAAGAAATCTCCAAAAATATATAGCATATAAAGATACAGCTAAAAAATTATTTAGTCGTTTAATTTTTATTAAATAATAAATTATTGTGTTGAAATTTAATTCCATATTTATAAATATATAAAATGGTGTATAACGGTTATTTTGTTGTCTGTTTTTTTACGTATGAATGAATGAATGTTTTATTAACAGTGGCTTATTCTTAATATTATCTGTAATGTAAGGTCGGATGTACTCTGAGTTCACACGGACCTCGATACAGTTCCAATAATCGATGCATCTAGCTTTAATTGGTTGAATCCTTATAACGGTCCCACTTACTGACAAATAGATCCCGAATATAACAAACAATTTTGTTATAAGTCGTTCCGATTGGAGAAATTTAGGTCTATTAATTATATAGCAAAAATATCTTCTTTTTAATTATGTTAGCCATTATTTTTTTATTATTTTTTAATATTACTTAAGTAAATGTTTATTCTATTTAATCGATTTTGCAGTTACATAAATCATGTAGATAATTTAATACACGTTTTTGTATTTCCTTGACAATATTATATTCTTAGTTCATTTATAATAATAGACGGATGTCATGTAGCATCTTACATATATGTATTATTATTTTATAGTATATATTGGAATAATTATTGTGCAATGATCACAGAATATTATAATTAAATTATTATGGTGTAAATACGGAGCTAATATTATTTCTATTGAAATACAGTAACGCGATCTAGGATACAAGTTTTTTTTTAAAAATATTTTTGTAAACTAGTTGGTGGAGCAAGTTCACAACCAGTCAAGGTTATTGAATTTTCGATGAACTAAAAAGCTATTCCTTTTTGATAAAAAGCTGCGAGGTGATGACGCTCGGGCAATTTCTTTAATAGCTGAAGATTTAAAGCACGCTGACCAAAATGACTCGTATTGTATCGAGTACTTTTAAGTTGATAAAAGTTTGCAAGTCAAAGTCTTCGACTGAGTGTGGCGTAATGGCGTTACATTATTTTACGCAACTCTCTCTAATACTAAGTCTAATGTCATAGAAATCAATCAACTTATTATTACAGCACTATCAATTGTATTATAAAGTAGCCTTCAATGGTGACAACTAATCCTAGGTCCTATTATTCCCAGTACATATATTCCGTGACGAAGTTATCTTCGTATCCCCAGCGTATCATCATGCAGAGAGCCCAGGCCAGCAGTGAGCGGACCCCGCTGGTGCCGCCCACATACATGTTCGAGTCCAGCATCTCCAGAACCTATCAGAAACGACTCAGGAACTTCCAGTGCGCCGTCTGCGTCGTATTGATGTACGTACTTTGATATATTACTGACATTTGTATCAAAAATATTATATAATCTATCGACAGAAACAGATCAAAAATAGGAAATCGGATTTAGAGCATCATTTTCGATTCATCGTTGTAGTTCCTTTATTATGTAGAACGTTCTTCTTTGAGTACTAAGTTATAACAAGCATTTAACTTAATACGACTGACTAATTTTATTAATATGCAGAAAGCATATCTTTGTTAAAGATAAAAGATAAGTTATCTAACGATTCATTTTCTTGTTTAAACGAAGCTATACTCTTCAATGATTGCATCATATTTTCTAAAAGTAACGTTCGTATTTTGATTACCACAGTTAACAAAACGTAATCCTCTTTTTAAGTTCGCTTCAAAAAATAAAAATGTGCCTACTTTAATGTCACTACTACTGACGCAGAAGCTCACTTCTGGAAATAATCGAACTATTATTATAATATTGTGATTACATCACAAATATTTTCGAAAAGCAGTAGGCCGATAGAAAACAATATTGAGGCTCGTCTCCGTCCTTCATCGCTTTCCGTTTTCAAAAACCAATTAAAAACTAGTTTGGCAACGTTTTTGATTAGATAAAAAATATTTTGTAACAAAATTCCCATAAAAATACAGCATCTATTTAAGATACTAGTTATAAAATCGTAACTGTGATTAAAATGAGATATGTCACTCAGTATATGTCCTTATACGATGTTGAAAAATTAGGGCAGTTACATAAGACGCGGGTAAAATTAAACTTGAAAGTTACCGATGTGTTGTATTTCTTGTACCTCTGTTTATTTTTATCACAAGGTTTACGGATCATGGATATGTAATTGCGACACAATTATATTTACACCAAACAGAAAAATTCAAGTTTAATATTTATAAATAAACTGTTTAAGTTTCACTAAAGAAAGTGGCAGAATTAATTCAGTTTTATTTTTAACTTGTGAATCATTCTCATCTCCCGACAGTTTACTGCTGTCTGTAACATTATTGGTGACCATTTCCTATAACCTCACCCTCGGCGGCCCGGAGTTTCCAGAGGTCGTGTCTCCAACAACACCACCTTCTCCTGAGGGAAACCTCACTCGCCGGCTTACTCTAAGTCCTGACCTGATGCCGATCATAAACAGATCCTGGCCTCTCCATGGTAAGTGAACACAAACACCTTTACTATAAAACAAACTAATCAAACAGGAAATAGAAACATAAATATTAATAGTTTATAGTTGTCTCAGTTTTAGTATCGAGCCCAATTAGATTTTTTAAAAAATAGTATTTCCATAAGAATGATATAAAAAAAATATATTAGCATATTGACTCGTGTCAACCTGTTTTTTATGTTAATGTTTCTTAATGTTCCAGCTTCCTAACAAAAAAATAATTTTATAAACTATTCAGTGACGTCCATGACTCATGTTTTTAGAGAATTGACACAATTATTAAAGGATTCTTACTTACTTTATCATTAAAAAAGATACTTTTTTTTATTATATTGTACTTTGACAAGAATCGTTTTCGAAATATAAATAATACAACAAAGCATTACTAAAATAATGTATATTCATAAAATAATTAAAAACTCGAGGAATATTTTATTTTTATTACATAAAATCAAGAAATAAAATATTTTAGTAATACATATTTGATGATGGCGACTTCTGCGGCGTCGAGTGGCACGCGCTAATATGGACGATTTTATAATTCGATGATTTAAAATTTAGATTATTTTAAAAATATAAAATAACATTTTTTCTACATTATCATAGGTTACACAATTTTAATGGCAAATAAGTTTTAAAATAAATTTTCCGTTTGTGACTTAGGCAGAATGGAAATAAAAATTTCAAATAAAAACTACATGTGACGTACTTTTTGAGTAACTCATCACTTTACTTTTTATTTATATGCCATATGTGTTTCAAATGAAAAGCAAACGAGAAATTCTAGTGACATAGATTTAATACATGTATAAAACTTGACACACTTTTCAATCAACAATTGCAGGTCGCCCTATCCCAAAATGGGAAGCCGAAACAATAAGTCCCGAAGCCATAGACGCCGCCGTACAGAAAGGCAAAGCTATGCTAGTGAAGCGTAGAATGATAGAGAGAAGCCTTACTCCTCTCGACTCAGAGTCACCGGCCTTCAGGGGTCAAAGGGCGGCAGCTACGTCCGCTCTAGTTAAACCGATCGCCGAGACAGCGTACGCTGTTGAAGAGGCGACCAGAGAATTACTGAACAGGTATTAATATTATATCTAGCTACAAAACACACAAAACATCACTAGTACGTCACTTCACAAGTACATTTGTTCCAGTATATTCGATGCATTGCAGCGCAGTTAATTGTCACAAGTAAACGATCATCATACAAATGTCAAGTTCACATGTTATTTGTCTTTTCAATAATTACTATGTATATTATAATCTGTGGAATTATACATATTCATTGAATTTAAAATAAATTTACACATTTAAAATTATGTTTATATTTTAATTATTTTTATATTGCATTTTATGGATAAATATCTATTTATAAAATTTATAAAACTCGTAAACATCAGAATATAAAGTAGATTAAGCAGAATTCATTCATAATAAGATTGTTTATAGAACTTATCGGATACTTTCAAAAAGATTATATTTAGACTAAATATTAACGTTACCTAATTTTAGTACCTTAGAAAATAAAATTTTCGTCCATAATTTTATTAGGTGATTAATTATTTCGTGTCCTCATTAGAAGGGGGTCAATCGCAACCTATTGTCACGTGTGATAAGTGCTTAACCGCGAAATACGAGCCGACACAGTTTGGCTTCACCGACTCGGCTCTCAATACCGTATCCAAATAATAGCTTTACCTACGAGTAGCTGAAACTATATATTACAGATCATATTACTAGCTCCACCCCGACATTGCGTCAAGGTTGATATTTCAACACGTTTGATTATAACTGTTATCGAATAGATTTTATAATAAGAATTATGAATAACTAATTAAAAATTAAATCGGCACCTTCAGAACGAAGTTGTTTACAGTTAAAGAATTCCATAATAGACTGTTGTCAGACTGATTGCTAAGGTCATCAACATGATGAAACTTGGACCTTAGCTGCAGTATACCCCTTTTCTGCCAGCCAAGTTTCTTCACCCTACCGTGGTGCATATCTCCTACATGACTTTTATCGACATGTGATCGCTTCCTAATCATCTAATCAATATTATGTTCTTGTCCGTCTTCCTGCTTTACCCTCCAAACCTCTGATCAAACATTTTCTTCTTATCAAAGTTCTATCCGAGAAAAACAAACTTCAAAGTTATCTTAGGCTGTTACTCATGTCTTCCCACTCCTCTAGTTTGTACCATAATAATTTTACCAACAATGGTGTTTTGTATATTATATAACCATAGTCCAGTCGTCTGATCTCATGCTTTTAAGAATATTGTGAAACTTCGAAAACAACCGTCTCCATGAAATCGAAAGCTTATTAATGATGCACAGGCGCTCGTTTGGCCAACACCAAGTTTGGGACGTATATAGTTACGTCAATACTATTTCCTTTAGACACAATCTCTAACTCATAAGTGACCGTAGACTCTTTTAGTGTTCTATAATTTATTTTGTGAAGGAGGGGGAACTTAAGCTATATAAAAAAAACACAGTTAGTAGAATTTTCTTAGTATCATGATGAATACCTAATAGAACTAGTATTTAACATGTTTATGTATCAGTTACTAAGTCGGAAATAGCTCATTGAAGGTTAAGTTGAAAAACTTAAATAGTTTTGACAAGCGTAACAATTTTTATGGCACTTTTAAAGTTAATAGAAGAGACGATTAAGTTAATCTTCCATATCTAAAGAATAAAGAATTCCCTTTTTAAAACAATTTAATATTTATTAATTTTAAAAAATACCTACATTTTCAATTTTCAAAATGATGGCATACCTATATTTAAAAGAAAATGCATTTTATTCATACTCTTAAGTATTTTCGGATGAATCGAATATAGAAAACTAAAAAATACTATATTGCCAAAAATAATTCTTCCTTCTAGGACTGAGCTACCTGATGCAGTGGGCGCCGTAGGTGTCGGACCACCAACTAACGGATCATTCCCGGAGCCAGCCTACTGCCGGCCGCCCCCCGCGCCCTGCGTCACCTCTAAGTACAGGACCCAGGATGGCTCCTGTAACAACCTGGAGCATCCTCTACTCTGGGGCGTCTCCAACACACCGTTCAGACGAGTGCTACCTCCAGATTACGGTGACGGTGAGAGAAAATGACTATATTTATGATTTAATATTTATCTAATTCGCAGGGATTATGCTGGGGCAAAATTTGGAGACAGGTTCGACGAAATATCAATCTTTAATGGATTCATATTAAAATAGAAACACCTCATAATACAGCACTTTTTTCCGTTTGGAGAAAGTATTTATTACTTTCCTCCCTCATAAAGGGTGAGAAGGAGGTATTCGTGGGACTTCCTATGTTAGAACAGGGACTAAACTTAACACCCAACGAGTACCTCCATAGCCTTGATCCATAGTCCTACCTTACAGTGAAGGCAGCAGAGTATTGCCTTTCTCAGCAGCTTTTTCAGCAGCCGTTCCTCTATAGAATCTTCACAACAACCTCTAACCCCCAGGTGTAAGTTCCCCCCGCACTGGTTGGAACGGCGCTCCTCTGCCCAGCGCTCGTGACGTCAGCGTGACGGTCCACCGACCCAGCTACGCTCACGACACACAGTTCACGGTGATGCTGGCCGTGTGGGGACAGTTCATAGACCACGACATCACGGCCACCGCTCTCAACAAGGGTGAGAGGATCAGATTATACGAAACCAATTTTCAGTACGCAAAATCAGATTGTTGGTTTATGACCTAGTTTTTATGTTTTAAGAAATTCATAAGCACACTAACTTGACTTCATCAATACTAATATTATAAATGTGAAAGTAACTCTGTCTGTCTGTCTGTTACGCTTTTACGCCTAAACCACTGAACTGATTTTAATGAAATTTGGTATAGACATAGAGTTGACCTTGAAAAAGAACAAAGGATAGTTTTTATCCGAGTCTTTTGAAAGGTTATCTTGGAAACGCGATATAACCGAACTCCACGCGGGCGAAGCTGTGAGCGGAAAGCTAGTAGAACATATATCAAGAAAGACTGTTAGTTAAATAGTTTATTGTGTACAGGAGCGAACAGCACTCCCATCTCCTGCTGCTCCGACATGACGATCCACCCGGAGTGCTTCCCGGTGCAGCTGGACCCGGAGGACCCCTTCTACCAGGACTACAACCTCACGTGTATGGAGTTCGTGAGGTCAGCGCCCGCGCCTACCTGCCATTTCGGTATGTCTTGGAAACATAACTCATATTAGAGTACTTGGAACACGTGTTATGTAACTTATAACAGAACTGTAACTCGTAATTGTACTTGTAACAAATACAACCCTTTTGTGCTATACTCTAAACGTACACACAAAACCATAAACACAAAAACTATTCATTATTTTGTACTGGGTAATAACATTTTATGAGGCATTTCTAAATCAGTTTCAAAAACCATTCCCAATATATTTTTACAAATTTAAAATATTGCAAAGTCATAAAGAATAGTCTTTGTTTCTTATAAAAAATTACGCCATTCGCCTTTCTTTCATATCAAACCCAAATCGTTTTAGGTCATCGTGAGCAGCTGAACCAGGCGACGGCGTTTCTTGACGCGTCTACAGTGTACAGCTTTATGGAGAACAAGACCAACCAGCTGCGAGCGGGAGCCAACGGACAGCTGAGGATGTTGAAGCTCGGACCCTGGGAACTACTGCCGCCCTCCACAGACCCTAACGACGGGTGTAACACGGTCGAGATGAACGCGAAAGGACGGTACTGCTTCGAATCAGGTACGAGGTTTTATTGAAAATGAATATAGTCTTATCTTAAACATTCATCATCATCAGCCCATCAGACTACACTGCTGAGCAAAGCATATTCTCACATGGAAAAGATTTGAGCAGAAATCACCATGATTGCTTAAGACGGGTTGGTGATTTCAAACTTATAATTTTAAAATATAAGTCCAAGTTCTCACGATGTTTTCCTTCACCGTCTGTCAGTGATGTCTAAATTCTCTTATTAAGTACATATGACACGGAAAAATCACATTGGTACTTGCCAGGTTTTGAACCTGCGCCCTCATGTACGAGAGGTGGGCATTTTAAGTTTTAACCTCGTTTTAAACACTGGATTAAAGTCGCGTTACCAAAGCATTATCATTCAAATCATTCTTCATACTTTGCGTTATTAGTAATTCGTTTCTATTAAACAGTAAATGGCAAGTTTTTCTGTCATCACGAACTATGGGTCAGGATTAATTTCTGTATCAATACAAATTCTAGGTGACGACCGCGCTAATGAGAACCTCCATCTAACTACGATGCATCTACTATGGGCCCGACAACACAACCGCGTGGCGACGCGCCTGCAGCAGCTCAATCCCGCTTGGGACGACCAGCAGCTGTTCCAGGAGACGCGCAGAATCGTCGGGGCACAGATGCAGCACATCACATATGCAGAATTCCTACCTTCTATATTAGGTAAGTCAGAGGTTCTGTCAGAAAAATATAGTTGTATGACCCATTAAAAAGAGCAATTATAGTGACTTCATTCATATAGGAGAAGACGTAATGTGGTCGCTGAACCTGACGCTCCAGGAGTCAGGGTACTCCAGCGTGTACGACCCAGACGTGGACCCATCCATCGCGAACCACTTCTCTGCCGCAGCCTTCAGATTCGCTCACACCTTGCTGCCGGTAACTCACCATAAAACCATCGTCATATCTCATACAATTATCTTCTGGAACATTCTACTGAGTGTGAATGTCTCCAGGGTCTGATCCATAACGTGGACCTAAGCACGGGCACGGTGAGCTACACGCATCTACACGAGATGTTGTTCAACCCGTACACGCTGTACACGGAGCAGGGGTCCAAAAAGTCCGTGAGGTCCGCCATCAACACGCCCGTGCACGCGGTGGACCCGCACATCACCAGCGAGGTACGACCTACATGCTATTACAGTTAACTGGTAATAAGAGATCAACGGAAACTAGCGGCTTGGGAGTCATGCCCAAAAGAAAACATGAGTTATTTTTATAAATTATAATCTTTGAGAAAATACTATTGAAATACCCCCTTTCTCTTCGTCCACAAAAACTCACAACGCCTTAATTGGTGATAAACTCAGTTATAAAAATCCAAAGAGATTTTTTAGCCTTTACTCATTATAATATCGCCATCTATAAATCTATAGTATAGACCAGTGATCTTTTGCATCATACAAAGCATCTGCGAAAAGTGCAGTATTTAATAGAAAATTAGTCAGAATGTCGTAGGTCCATAGATGATATAAGATTATAAGAAACCTTCTGATTGACTCGTGCAAGTTATTTTTTACATTTAATAAAACAAATGTCTGAAAAGAACCTATTTTAAAACCAACGTCATATTGCCTCCATCCTATTATATTTTTTGGTCGGCGGACCTTTTATTCGTTATTATTTCATGTTTTATTATAATTGTGCCGAATAAAAATAATATAAGAACATGAATGAATGACGTCATAACTCTAGGCCTCTCGCAGCTTGAGCAAACAGCTTATTTTTTTAATCAATTTATTCCACCGTTTAATGTTATAGCAATGTGGCAGATAATGAAAAGTGTTAACAAAACAAAAATATCTTTTTTGTTAACACTTTTCAGTATCTGCCGCATTGCTATAATTTTCGACTAAGCTTTTTACACAAGTTCTCGTAGACAAAACACAAAAAAAGAGTTCTTATATTTATTTATTTATTACAATTATGTTGGAATTTTTTACATTTATGTCTAAGTTTTCACAGTGTCTCATAAACCAATATTGGTTTTACCGTACACTGGCAAAAAAAAAATATAAAAACTATTTTCAATAAGCCGATTCCTTGAACATAATTTGCTTATAGCTGAGCAATCACCTGTTCGAGCGTAGCGTTGCCAACACCAGCAGTGGTGTGAAAGGCGCCAACCCCTTGCCGTGTGGGTTGGACCTAGTGTCTCTGAATATACAACGGGGTCGTGACCACGGCCTGCCCGCCTACCCCGCCTGGAGAGAACACTGCGGCCTCTCTCGACCACAGACCTTCGAGGACCTCGACCCGATCTTTGACGAACTCTCTTTGAGCAGGATTTGCAAAATATACAAGTGCGTCACAAAGTTATTCTTTGTTGAAATTGTTTCAGGGAATAATGGCTCAGGTGTTTTGTTTTGGTCCAAGTCTGAGTTTCATATGATTATTCCTATATTATTGTGATTGTTCCTCAGGAGCGTCGATGACATAGACTTGTACACGGGCGCCCTGGCCGAGGACCCCAAGGGTCGTCTGCTTGGGCCCACGCTCACCTGTCTGGTGGCGGACCAGTTCCTGCGACTCAAGGTCGGGGACCGCTACTGGTATGAAACCTCGGATCCAGATATTAAATTTACTCCAGGTAAGAGAGTCTCTATTTCGTCATACGAATATTGAAAAACTTTAACTGCATTTCCTAAGCAAATCATTTTATAAACTGTTTCAAAATATTTAATCACATCTAAGGAACTATAAATCAATGTTTCCCATAATAACTACCACAGAACAACTGTACGAAATCCGTAAGACGACGCTAGCGGGAGTAATCTGCGCTAACGAGGGTCTACTAGACCAAGCGCAGCCTCGCGTTATGGAGGCTCTGAGCGCCACCAACCCGCTGGTCGACTGTAAAGAACTCCCTCAACCAGACTTCAAACCTTGGATAGATCCCGACCAGATCCAGCCTACTAAGAAACCAAACAAAAAAAATAAGAAAGGATAAATTACAAACAACTAATTTAACATCATCTGTGTTTGAATGACATTATATTTATAAGCTGTGGTGACGTGACGGATTGAAAGTTAGGTTATACGTGTTTATTGATTGGCAATAATTGTAGTGGAATAGTGTTGAGTAGGACACGACTTCAAACAGAGTTTGTAAGAGTAGCCTCTTTTTTGTCCTGAGCCAGTACAATGTCCCACTTCAAATGAGGCGAGGCGAATTGAACCATATGAAGTTATAGTACGAATTACTGGCGCCTCAAATGTCAGACGCGACGTGCTTTTGTCATGTCGTTTGTTTGTTTTATGTTTAGTACAAATATTTTAAATCTTACAAGTATAAAAATTGAATTATATGTGTTTATAGTCTGTTAGGTACTCTAACCAAATGATTACGAATATGAAATTTCTAACCTAATATACCTATTAAAACTAAACGGGAAAGTTTGTGAGGATGGATGTGGGATGGATGGATGGATGTATGTTTGTTATTCTTTCACGCAAAAACTACTAAATGGATTTTAATCAAAATTTACAAGAATATAACTTATACTTGCATCAGAATAACAAATGGCTATAATTTATAGATGCGGTGTTAATTATCCAAAATGTAACGATAAGATTATTACTATTTAAATTTTTAAATACGCGCCTCCTGGCTGGCGCCTCGCCTCGCATGAAAGACAATATATTTCTCTCTCGCTCATAATGTCAGACGTGCTTGTCGTTTGACGTTTCTCTGCCTCGCTCGACCGCGACAAAAAAATTGAAGTAGTACAATTTTAAATTTCGAGGCACTCTTACATTTTGACGTCATGTCCGGGACAAATGAAGCGCCTCATGTATGTCCTACTCAACACTATAGTGGAACTTGGCTTTACCTTTTACATTTAATACATTATAATAATAATGGTGATTGTTTTAATAAATGGCATGAGGATTTAATAATTATAAAATTTATTTTAATATTATGAGGCGCGTATTATTTATAACGGTCTGAACTCTTCGTTTATTTTTATTGTGAATGGAATATTTTAAAGTCTATTTCTGTCCATCATTGTTTTGTATCACAATGATTGCAGTTATATAATAATGCATGTTGAATAATATTTAATAAGTTGACGTAAAACTATTGAAACATTTTATAGTTAGGGACCTCTGTAGTATAGGATTTATATTATAAGATGTTTTCTTACAGTGGGACCTACGATTATTATTTATAACGAAAAAATTATGAGACCTAAGTAAATATTTTTACTCTTAAATTATGTTATACTATAGACTAGGAGAATATTTTGATTGTTTGTGCCAGTTGATATTCTTTTAAGTATCGTCTTCACACTTTTTCAAAACGTTACAGAGTAATTTGGCAATGTTTACAAAATACAGACTGTGTGGGTGATGTATATTGTGGATGTATCTTGTATATAATTAGTTTCACATGCAGTGAATATTGTGTTCATTTTTAATTAGTTTACCAAAATAATAACTATTAGTAGCTATTAGTCCACATACTGTGAATCGTAAATGTGCCAAAATTACTTTTAATGTGACTATAACGTACCTAGTTTTACAATAAACCTACGTACGATCACTGTACTCGGTTGCTCGTCACTGATACATTTAATAAATGTTTTGATTTAAATGTACAACTCGTTTTATATTTTTATCAATTTTTCTTTAGTTTCATCTTCTATCTTCTTCTTCTATATATATATATATATATATATATATATATATATATATATATATCTTCTATATATATAAAAATGGATTGCTGTTCCTTAGTCTCGCTAAAACTCGAGAACGGCTGAACCGATTTGGCTAATTTTATTCTTGAAATACTCCTGGAAGTCCAGGGAAGGTTTAAAAGGTGAGAAAAATTGCAATAATTGCCGGGAAAACCCTAAAAACAGCCCTTTTCTATTTCCCATACAAACGTTTTTTTTTACATTAGATTTGACAACTAACTAATATGGCAATCATTCTGTTTGATTGAAACAGGAAAAACCTGATTATTTATGGCCTCTAAGACGGAATAGAGTTCGCCTGGTCAGCTATACCTACATATATTACTCTTGACCAAACTAACGCGGACGAAGTCGCGGGCAAAAACTAGTCTTCTATATATATAAAAATGGATTGCTGTTCCTTAGTCTCGCTAAAACTCGAGAACAGCTGAACGGATTTATCTTATCTTAGTCTTGAAATGTTCGTGGAGGTTCAGGGAAGGTATAAAAGCTGAAAAAAAATTATTAATTACTGGGAAAACCATAAAAACAGCCCTTTTCTATTTCCCATACAAACGTTTTTTTTGGCATTAGATTTGACAACTAACTAATATGTCAATAATTCTGTCGCACTTCAAAACACGGAGATTTATGGCTTACAGGTAAACTCCAAAAATATAAATAAAAAAACGTAATAGATATTTGTTGATTATAGGGCGATACGAAGTTCGCCAGGTCTTCTAGTATTTAATAGACATGGAGACATTTTAACTAAGGCTTGGTCTATGTAAACAGAGACTATATGAGTCACAGATCCTTTTGCATTGTATTTTGGATAACCGTAGGAAGAAGGTGGCCTTGCTTACAATAAATTCACAATATTTACAAATGTATAATAAACAGTTATTGTCAACCTTATGAACTCGTAATAGTAACTTTTAAAATACTTCGAAGCGCAAAAATAAAATGGCGTTCCTCGCTCTCATGACGTCATTCAGCTGTAAAGCCCCTTGTGACATAACATAGCAACGGCACGGGAAGGTCAAATGTAAAAATAGATAATCTATTTTATTTCCTAGGCGTTAGAGTACAATTTTTTGTAAATATTACTTGCGAAAATGCACATATGAATTAATTTGACCATGAGGTCTGTCTATAAATAAAAAGATAACAGATACGCAAGGATACAAAGCTCGATGAGGATTCTTTAAATAAATATAGAACTATGCAAGTAGTTAATAAATCTCATCAATTATTTGATAATGTGATACCAAAGATTTTTATATAAGTGATTAATGTGTTATAGTGGACCTGCGTCATACTGCATCTTGGCGTATATAATATTTATATAATGTAAAACATAATTGGCATAATATCGTCTCCGTTATTATTAGCCACCGCCCTATAGTTATGTCATATGACAACTGAATACCTTTTGTAAATGTAGCTCATTGTTTGTTACGATCACTTGCATGTTTATTGTAAATTACTTATAATTACATATATTATAATTACATAAAAATTAAAAATCTTATTTTTACTCTCATTTACTTATTATGAGCAAGATTATATACAAATCTTATCAAATTTAGGATTATTTTTTTTAAATTCATAATGCGTTTATAAATTTTAACAAAGCTAACCGACTACAGCCGACAAATTGTAATATTTATGGGTCTACTGTTATTTAAAAAAGAATAAGATTGTAAATTATAAATAAATATAAACAATAGTAATAATCAAAATATAAGGACGTAAATAATAAAGTATGTAATCCGTTTCGTTAGATTCACATAGAAATGGATGAACGGTTTTTATTAGATTTGGCAAAGTATCACACTTATATCTAATTCATGTTAAACAGAAATAAAACGGAACGTATTCCTCGCGTCCAATACGAGGTTTGACATCGGAGTAGGTTACAAAGATAAAGCATTTTAATAACAAGACTTGTGAACGAAATATATTGTTCTATACACCATTGTCGTAGGCGGCACGTGCGGCGTCCGAGGAGCTCCACAGATAATATAATATCTATAATTTATAAAGATACAGCCTTCCAGACGAATCCATACAGGTCTTATATAATTCTAATGAATATTTCCTGAATACTTTTATTACTATTATACACGTTTTCTATATAGTAAATGAATTAAAATATTCTATTATTAAATATTTAAATGCAACCTTGAATGTGATGATGTAGAATTATAGATTCAGAAAGATTTCTGATCTATAATATTTTTGCTATGTGGGAGGTGTTCAATAAAGTATGTTATGTTTTCAGACTTTACTTGCTACTTTTGAATACCAACGTAGTTATTATATTAGGAAATAGAGCATCTATTTAAAATTATATGGGAACTCATTGAATGAATAGCGTATTATGCATGTACTGGGCGCGTAGTACATTCCAGAACGATAGACGCGTCGCATAATTGCACCAACAGAATATAATTTTATTACATTCTTATCGCTATTCAACGACTTTGTAAGCTATATAAAACATGTTCTTTATATTGAATTTTACTTGCAACATATAAAAAAAGCTGTAGTGTCGTTTTAAGAGTTTATCAAATGATAACAATGGAATTCGTTACTTTAATTCAAATATAACCCGGATCAATGATAATGTCAATATGTTTATCCCCGCTGAGACAAAACTCTCTCCTCCTCAAATCGGTCGTGTTATGCGACATAATTATTATCGTCCGGACCCGTTTGTACTTCACAACGTCACGTTTCTCGTACACGTGACCGACACAGCACGTGGAGATAACTGTTTTTTTTTTCATTGGAACTCTTGACAGATTGTAAAAATGTTTCTTTATGCCAAATTATATAATCATAGACTGTTTAGTAATTAATAAATATCAATAATTAAATGATATTCTTTCAATAACAGCTTATTAATTAAATCATATAAAAATTGAGTACCATTGACCTTATTACTATTAATTCGGATTATTGATACTTAATATTTCTGTATAAATTAATTCAAATTTTTTACAGCTACAACATAAGCGGCCATCATATTTGGTTTTTGTTGATTAATGAGAATATTTAAACAATATCTGTGGATTGAAAAATTGTATAGAATAGATTATATTTTATGATAAATCAAACAGTGTCTTAATAGACCGGATGCCGGTTTAATTCTGGAGGCTTCTAGAAGACGCGCGTAGAACGACACCCTTCTAGCATGTTCGACGGTCGACCGGTACACTGACTCGTGAGGCGAGAGTATTGAGCACTTACACGACTTAGTAAGGGGCGAACGTTAATCACAATTAAAGTGCTAATATTATTATAATACAACAATGTCAAATAATTAATTAGTATACAGAACTCACTTTGTAATCACCGTATTAAATTTATTTGTATTCGTTATCATCATTATTATCAATAAAATAAATATAAGCCACGTGAAATGCAAGAATATATTTAAAAAAAAAAATATATAGATCAATAAATCATACGAATATTAAAAATATGTTAAAATATTAAATTTGAATACAAATTTTTAAACGCTTTAAACTCAATTGTTTTAAAACATAAACACAATGTTATTTCCCGCGTATTTTATGGGTTTGTTTTTCACGTAATCAATCTTTAAGGAGGAGATGTATCTGTTTATTATTCCATTTAACTAGTTTCAATATTATGGAGATTATGTTTTTATGATTTTTTTAAATAAATCCTCCTTCTAAAGACAAATATCGAAAGATGCAAGGGTTCTACATCTAATATATCAACAAATAGTATATTTGGACTTATCCTCTACAAACCAAATTGAAACATTTTTTCGTTTTATATAAATTACCTAGCTACATTATTAAATCTTAATAAATCTCCATCTCACGCAGTGAATATTCTGTTCTGGCCATATTTGGCTTGTAAAAGTACGTCATCAATAATTGAACACATTAAGTGAAAGTTCCAAGTTACAAAGATCTGTACGTCGCTAACAATACAGTTCCTGGTAACACGACCAGCTTACTATTTAATATATGTAATCAGGATAGCGATACGTTATTTCCTGTAAAGATAAAAGCCTTATGACGCCGCGCCGTTGTACTTGAAAGATTTGAGGCAAAAGGTTGCTTAAACGTTCATTATGTAAACAATATTAATGAGGAATGTAAAAGATTTGATATTTTCAAGTTTAAGGCCGAATTGCGAATAGTAGTAGCACTTCTGTAGAAAATATTGGTAGAATAATGAGAAGATTCGAGAGTCTGTACTCTCATTTAGGGAGGTCAATGAACTTGCGAAAAAAATCGGCCGCAAAAACAGTTACACGAACCAATCTGGGAAGAAAAATATGTTACAGTTTTCGCGTTTTCTTTTTCTAAAACATTACAAATATATGACGTGTATTTCACACCTATATTTTTTAAATATCGGATGTCAAAACCATTCTTAAAAACATGATTCCCAACAATAGTATTTCGGTCATTACAGTAAAGGTCGCTAACCTGTTATAGTTTCGTATCAATTTGCATTCGTTGATTTGTTTTCTTTTGAATGTTTCATTGTTTGTTTTTAGTTTATTATACTTGTTATAAATAAAACTTTTTAAGTTGGGACATAATATGGTTTATAAAAAAAATGATGAAAATTACTGAACGTTTCAGAGATAGTTACGGATACATCTTTTCTCCTGTTTTCATATATTATTATTAACCTCTGGAGTACAGTTTCATAGAAAACATTCCATTAATTACTGGTTTACTTACATTAAAAATAGTAAGTAAACCAGTAATTAATGGAATGTTTTCTATGAAACTGTACTCCAGAGGTTAATAGAGCGGGAGTTTATTTGTTTAGCTTCTAGTCAGATTTTAAGCATATTTTTCCGCAGTACATTTCCTATGGGCCATATATTAAACGCTACTAATCTTATTTAGCATTAAATATTGATATTTATATTCTATACCGTGGGCAGAGCTGGAATTAAAATATATTTTTTGGAACGTGTAGGTGTTCCATAACACAAATTTATAACAAACGATCTGCTCAAGCGTGTTTTTTAATTTACAATATTTTACCTAGAACTTCGATTCCTAAGTACTCCCGGTTTCACCAGTAGCCGATACATCAGTACTCAAATATATTATAACACCGTTTCCACACGTTACCGATATTAACACGAAAGATAAGGCCGTCTCATTGTTTATTGACAACTTTATCAATAAATTTGAAGGCGAAACAGTATGACTGATCGGGGAACCAAATATGTATTTAAATAGCATTAAATATTACTTATCTATCAGACAAATTATCGTAAACATGCAAACACTTGATAAAACTATTTTGACAGATGTAATTTTAATTAAACATTTTATTACAAATTAAGTAACACATATTTGTTTGTTGCAATATTATGGATGTAATACATGTTTATTGAATAAGTAAGAATGTTAACTTTTAATGTTTTGTAAAGAGCTATGTTGGCTGTATCCTCCAGTCCGGAGGCGGCGCCGTGGATATTTTTATAACGTGACGCGTTTCTGAACGATTATGTCCGCACATGTTTGAATGTCGGCCACTAAATGTGAGCCGCGCACAAAGAACGATACTTTCCACAGTTCTAATTATGTTCTACTAAATTACGACTCAGATATTCTAATACTTACTCTGATAATGACCGAAATATAACTTAAGTCATTTAGAAATGTATCAATATGTTTATCATAAGCATATATTATGGTAGTATGTTATGTGAAATTAATTAAATTCTTTATAATCCGCACTTTCCCTGGCGTGCGAGTCCCGAGCGCGCCAAGGTCCGCGCCCGTGCCAGCGATGACGCCATGTTCAACTCCGCCCAGCTGTTTATATACACGCCATACATTATGTATATTGAATATATTTATTACATTCAAACCATTATAAATCTCATCTTTTCCTATTATTAGATTTTTTCATATTTCATTTTACATACTTTTTAATAAGAATCAGAGTAATTTCATATAAAATTTCTAAGTGTTTTTTTACTAAACCGTTTCCATAGCAATATTCTATATGGGGTTTGTGTGTAGTAAATGAAAACCTTTATAGTTTTAATCTTTTATTACGTTATTTTCAACAGCAATTATAAGTAGTCAGTTATAGAACCGTCATCTACAAAAAACATTTACTCATGTCAAACGACACTCAAGTCTGGAACATGTCAACAGTGAACCTAGAACTCACAATTACTGTCAACCGATATTTACACAACATTTATAATATTTACAGCTTAAGAAATTAAATACACACAGACAGGCATCACAGTCCCCCGTACTAAAACGCATGAGGAACCTCTCACTCAAGACTCGGTACTGCCTATGTTCCACCATCTCTACAGACAGTACATAATGATAAGGCTGTAACTTCCTCAGCCGTGACTACTATAACTGAAAGCCTAGTCGGAATGTCCCATTGTAACATTGAGCATTTCATCCCCACATGTGTGGTCGTTATACTCCTACGTTGCTAATGAGATTTCCACTTGTCTCCAATCTTAATTGGGTAGCGTGTCCATGAGTATTTCTTTCACTCCAGAATTTAGACGATCGGGGAACTTGATGTCGAAGGCCACCAGCAGGTCTCCTTTCCGTGTTGGTTCCTTGGGGAATGGCAGGCCGTAGCCGGGGAATCTCTTCACAGTGTAGGGCTTCACAACCTCGCCTTGCAAGTTAACTGTGAGCTTCTCGCCGGACATGGTAGGCACTTCAATGATAGTCCCGCAAAGAGCCTGTAACCAAAGATAAAATTTAATATCTTGAGTCATCACTACTAAGTATTAGTGTTAAGTTTTTCTACCAAGTTTCCTACAGTCTAATGTATTAACTAACATGACTCATCAGGTCTTTTGCATATTATTCTGTAATCTAATTGCTTCCAATGAACATAAAATATAAATACAGTCAAGTGTAAAGAAATTAAAACCTTATTAGAAAAATAAACAATTAGGAAAAGTCAAATTACCTGTTTGAGTGATATCTTGGCTGTATATCTGATGTCACTGCCTTCTCGTTTGAACAAGGGGTTTGGCTTGTCTCTGATGATGAAGACGATGTCAGCAGGGATCTTATTCCTGCCCTGGTCACCTTCCTTCTGGAACGTGATCTTCGTACCAGCTTTCCAACCAGGTTTCACGTGGATGGTCAACACCTTGTCCTCTTTCTTCGATGTACCATCTGGCTGAATGACGCGGCGAGAAATCTTCATCTTTTTAACACATCCACGAGCGATGTCTTCCAGCGACACGTATAAATCGTGTTCTATCGGCGGATCTTGGGTTTTTTCCTTCCTGTTCGGTGACCCATGGAAATTGAAACTGTGACTCCTGAAAGCCCCACTTCCGCCGCCGGGTCTCGTCTGTCCCATTCCGATGTTGGCGAATGGATCGAGATCTACGTCCATGTCGCGGTCGAAGAACATTGTCGAGGCGCCGGAGCCACCATTGAGGTCGAACAACCCTTGGAACGGGCTAGCTGATCCAAAGAACTGTGCGAACGTCGCCCGCGGGTCCCCGTGGAAGGTGTATGAGAACGATTGTCCGCTTCCAGGTCCGTTCTGTCCTCCCATTCCTCCCTTCAATCCTTCTTCACCGAGGGTATCATAGATCTCACGCTTCTTCTTGTCCGATAGAACCTCGTACGCTTCAGCGACTTCCTTAAATCTCTCTTCTGCGCCTGCTGATTTGTTCTTGTCTGGATGGTATTTCAACGCTAATTTGCGATAGGCTTTTTTGATTTCATCGTCTGATGCACCCTTCGCAAGTCCCAAAATTTTGTAGTAATCTTTTCCCATTTTGATGATTTACTCTGAAACAATGAAAAAAACACTGGTTTAGAGACCTCATTGACACCTTTTTAGGAGACAGCCTGATGATTCGCGCAAATGTTACACTTTTACCAATTGGAATATATTTCCGTAAATTTCTGAGCCCGGCTACAATAATATTAGAAATAATGACAATAAAATGATCTTATTTAAATACTTACAATGGCTTTGTAATGATAAATCCAGTAAACTAGAAGATTTCAAGTATTCTTCACACAACACAAATCACAACTTCACACTATCTACTTCACAAATGAATGGATCGCAGCGCTGTCGTCGCGGCAAAATATATACATTAAAACGTCTAGAACATTCTGGGGCCTTCACTCGGCGTGAGAAAGAGAGAAAAGATAATTCGAACTTAACTAACGCTTGCGATAGAAAGAGATCAATATAATTTTAGTAGTTCAAATAACAGTCCGACGAGAGTGCAGACTTGACGTCTTTTGTATTAAAAGCCTGTTTTATATGGATGTTATGATTCTTTGTCACGAATTTCCACCAATAGCAAACAGGTTTAAATATAAAACCCAATCCGTAACAAGTCTACACTAAAAGCAGCTAATCTCGTTAAAGAATATTATAAACTATAAGAGAAATATTGTAATTGAGAATAGTCGTACTGTTGGACTGCAAACAGTAAACTTACTACGTAACTTCAGTTTATATAAAACCGAATGAGATGACCGATATTTCGATATATTAGATTATTTCAATTTGGGAAATCAGACATGTATCATGATTTCGCTCTTTTAACAAAAATGTTAATCATTTAAAGCTAAACAAAAACATAAGCGGGATTTAATGATTTCCATGACATAGAGGGCGATGTTTGAACATAAAGTTATATCTTTTTTAAAGGTTGAAAATTAATAATTTATTAGTTGTTATGAATGCCAATATGGATGTACAGGCTACACAGTAAAGGTAAGCTGCACGTGAGTGATGTGGGTCAAGACTCAAGATACAGCGATCCGTTCACGCCTCACGTGTTTGTTCTTCTATGTGTTCTAGAATTCATTGACGCATCGAGTTATCAGCTTGACTGTACAAGAACTAATAATTTAAATAAAAAATACCTAATGATTTCTTTTACAAAATCCCCTCCATGAGAAAATTGAAATACGTGATACGTCTAGAATATTCTGGATGGCGGAAGTATGTGAAAATTATGCCAAGCGTTCAATGGTATTTAGATAACAAAAAAGATATTAGTATGAATTATAACTATTTAATTCCTATTGCTGTCTCCCTTTTAATACATTAAGTATTTTTAATAAATTTAAATTTTAACAGCGTTGAAGTTTGTTATAATATATAATTATTTGTTTTGTTTTTACGGGGATAATTAAAGTTCAAATCAACAACTTTCACATTTTTTTGATTGTGGACATATTTAAACAGAATTAAGTAATAAAGATAGGTCACCGCGCAACAAGTAATTTACTGAGCGGGGCCGTAATGTAATGAGAAAATTATTAATTATTAAATAAGTAGGTACATACCTACTGTGTCTATTTTAAAAGTAAATTTTCTGCAATTTATAATAATATTTTAATGATAGGTATGTAGTATGTTCCTCAATCGATTTAGTAATTATTTTATATATATATATATTTAGACGTAAAAAGAAATATGTATAAATTATAATAATTGTTAAGAAAAATAAAACTTTTTATGTCTGCCATACTCTGGTACTTACTGGAACCTTCCTTTAGGAAAAAAAAATTATAGGTTATCAAATTTGTAAACAAAAATGCACATTTCCGATATATTACTAATAATTATCTGTTAATGAAAAAAAACTTATATTGGTGGTGAAAGTGTAGATCTCATTCTACTCGTCCAAAAAAACCAATAAGTGCCTAGCTGAAAATTGTAGCATAAATTCTCCTTACGCATATTTACTTTCACTAAGTATAGCTGTTTATAAATCATAAATAATACTTCAAGAAAAAGTATACTTCAAGAGCAAGTAATGTCTGAATTAATATGGATGTGAATTAAAAAGATCTTTAAGACAATTTCTTTTATATGGATTTTCAAAATTAATTAAAAATGAGTAGTAGCCAATATTAAAGTTATTTATAAATTATGCTTAATTGTTGAGCATAGTGACTAAAGATATATAAATATAAGAGAATAATGTCAAATATTACATTTATATAGATATAGGATTTTTTTCATTTCTAAAAGGCCTTTACGATATATTTGAGAAAAAATGAGGCATCAACTTGAGGTCTCGTAACTTTATTAATGTTTATATTCTTTTCTTCAATTGTAATAAAAAGATATAAATCTTAGGAATCATCTTTGTTTCCATATTGATCTATACATTTGTTTACTTTTATTAAATTTTCAAGTTCAAACATATATAATATTGAATATATAAATGTGTAGTGTGACTGTATAGAGTGTAATATACGTAAATAAATATTAAATATAATTTTATATATGAAATATGTCGTGTAATAAATAAATATAATATAGTTACATATATATTTTGATATTACGCCTACAAACACTTTACATACATTGTACTGATACTAACATATATTTTTTTAAATAGTTCATTTTAGTTTAAATAAGGACTAGATAGGTGAAAAAGAATTGTAATGCCTTCGAATATTCTTGTATGAAGAAACTCGTAAAAAGCAGGTTCCCAATAATATAATATCCCCTACTGGTGTTTCCAGTAGTGCAGCGTTCATATTACCATTGTCCATTTATTGCATAGAAGTAGTCTGTCAACAAATATTACACATTTTAATTTGAACTAACTTTAAACTTTATGTTACTTTTCTTTTTACTCATTACTGAAAAATAGAAGATGTCACACATACAGGTGTTTCGGCATTCTATTACTAAAGTAATAATGGATTATTATAATGTATAAAATTAATAGAAAAGAAAATACAAAAATCTCTCAGGAAATTCTCTTTGACTACCATCAACCGAGGCTTTAAAATGATAGTACATATCTATTATTTTTTATTATCATATAGCGGTACAGTCTATTTATATACTTTTTTAATATTTTGTATATAAATTATAAACCTCTTGAAATAATAACAATAGTTAAATGAAAGTAACCGACAGGATGATAAAAGCTGAATGACAGAATCTGTTACAACTTTCAATGTCATAAGTGACGTCAAACTACTGTCGAGTTTTGACATATGACATTATAGTACTGTTTATCGATTTGAATAAATGTTTTGGTGTGTTGTGTTAAATAAAATTGGATATAAATTACAAAGAGCTAATGTTACAAAGTAGGAAGAATAAAAGTACACATTTATTTAAAAAGTTTAATTATCGAACGAGTCTTAGAAACAGGGCATGCCGGCAACCTTTATGATCTATGTCGTAGTATTTTTCGTAGAAATCTTGGATCAACTCCTCGACCTGTAAATAAACATGGCAAATGATTTATTGCAAGTAAAGTGTGATATTTGCGACGAGATCGCTCACGAGCCTTATATAGAGTGTTGTGAATGCGACACTGTATTGTGTTGTACCTGTTTCGCGTCGGGAAAAGAAAAAGATAATCACAAAAACGATCACAAGTACGCTATAAGAAAAAATGATTTTCCATTATTTGAAAACTGCAACTGGTCAGCTAAAGAGGAATGTAAACTATTGAATGCACTGTCTAATTATGGTTATGGAAACTGGGAAGAAATAGCTAAGAGTGTGCATACGAGATCGAAACTGGAATGCCAAGAGCATTATAAAAAGTATTACATAGAAAACGTGAAGTATGACGAGCTGAAATTATTACCGGAAACTAAAGAGTCGTTATATCAACCACCTCTAACACCATACTTGTATAACACAGAGCTTAGTATAAACCCACCAAGAAATAACCAATCCGATCCACTTCTCGCCGGTTACAATGCCCATAGATCTGACTTTGAGCTTAGCTATGACCACAACGCCGAAAACATATTCAGCACCGATATAAGTTATGCCGCTGATGATGAAGATGACGATGAATGTATGGATTCACTGAAGGTTAGTTTGGTGAGTGCACTAAACACTAGATTACGAGAGAGGCAACGGCGTTACAACATCATTCAAGAACACGGACTCATCATGACTAATAAGTTATTGTCATGGTTGAAGAGGTTTGATAGTACGCTATCCAGATCAAAAGCGGAGAAACTACTATCATTCATGCAGTTCATGAGTGGAATGCAATTTGACGCCTTAATGGAGTCACTCAGTTTAGAAGAGGAAATTCTCAATAGAATCGTAAGGCTGTGTGATTATCGGAGGAATGGTATTAGGACTCTGTACTCAGCTCGTCTTTATAACCATTTAAAGAAACAAAACGACAAAGTCTATAAAGAACAGAAATACGTCACCAATATGATGATTAAGAAGTTCGACAGTCAGTCGCAGATGAAGAGTAAAAATAGTTTGTTCGGTAACAGTATTGGCAGCAAGAAGATTAAAAGAACACTCATGCCGTTGGACATATTGGATGTGCCAGGATACCACTTGCTGTCGGACAGTGAGAGAGATTTGTGCTCCAATGTTAGAGTGATCCCGGAAAACTTTTTGGACATCAAAAGAGTTCTCATAGCGGAGAACAACAAATTGGGTTTCCTACGTTTACTGGACGCGCGACGAGTGGTCAAAATAGATGTTAATAAGACTAGGAAAATATATGATCATCTGTTAGCTGAAGGATTTATTGTAAAACCTTAGGGTTGATTTTGTATTAAACTATTTTTCTGTGATACATTTTTATTATTTGTTCCACTATGATGAATTTATATGGATTAAAAAAATAACAATTTTAGGAAATTCAATTAATATTATACTTTCCCTTATCTGGCTATATTAATAATTCCAATTTTTTTTTATACAGATGTTTAATACATTCATCATATAGACTTAAATTTTTATAGTGACCTTTTTAAAATATAACTGGCAATCTTATAAAAACAATAGACTCATTGAGGTGAATACAGTAATATATGCTTTAGGTAGAATTATTATTCAATGATATGCAATATTTTTTAAAATATAGTCCAAGAATTGTATTATCAAATACTTATTTATTAATTTTTAGTTACTAAACAAATTTACAATAACCAGAAATGTTGATCCACTCACAACATTCAAACTTAATTATCACTGGTTGTCTAACAATTATAATATTTTCATTAAACCTGTTAGAATTAAGTTTCTTACAGGTAAACCTATACTTACTTTAAACCCAAATTTTTGGTAAAGGAACACAGCGGGGTTTGTGGGAGACACATGCAGAGTTACATCTTTATCGGTGCAAGTCTGGAACAATGAACAATGTTAAATATAAGAAAACTATTGTATTGTACTTAAGTTTATTATAATTATTACTGTTATTTTTATATAGTACTGGACTTGTTAACATCACACAAATGCTAGTCACTTTATGAACTACTTGAGGTGTTTTTGAAAGAATATAACTCTTCTGTCATGATTCAATAGTTCTTCCTAGCTTGATCTAAAACACAAGATATAAATATCCTAAGATGGATCTGACAATACTATGAATAAAAAATATTCACAAGGAACTCATTCTTTATTTTATGATAATAACAATATGGAACACATATATACATGATTTCAGAAACTGATAAAAATAAGTAAACTTAAATAGTACAATTTTTTAAACTATTAAATAATATGTATTTCTTTTTGTTGTAGTCTGAAAACTATTATATACTAGATTAATCAAGATAAATTTTAATTTGATTGTCCGAAGACTTATTTTTTCTCAAATATGTCATGTGCATCATCACTGTTAAGTCACTGGCAGCCGCAGCACTATAGTCCAATATGTTTAATCTAAGTTAGTATCGTCACACTACTTAAAAAACGTGTCTCGTTTTTATTGTCCAACGTTAATATTGTGAGGTGAAGAGATTTACTCACTTAGACTAAGCATATTGCTGTTCTAAGTACATCTTCTTCTACCTGGCAATTTCCCAGCTATAGCCAGGGTCCGCTTTACATGTTGTGAATAGTTTTGGCTAATTGTTTTTACGACCGGCCGCCTGCCTGACATCAACCCTCTTTGGGAATGCATTAATCAGTGATGTCTAAATACTCTTAGAAAGTACACATGACTCGGAAAAATCACATTGGTACTTGCCCGGGCAAGGATCGAACCAAAAAAAATCGATGAGAGGCAGGCGTTTTAACCACTAGGCCACCACTGACTTCTAAGTACTTGTTTGTGATTATATTTAGTAGCATGTATTTTACTGAGTATCGACTAACCTGCAGCAGATGGTACATCATGAAGGTAGCGATGCCCGCGTTCCTCCACTCGGGCCGGGTGAGGATGAAGCTGATGTAGGCCTCGTTGTGTCTCACGTCGGGCACCAGGAACGCGCACGCCACCACCAGCCGCCCGAACGACACCACGCAGCTGAACTCAGGGTACTGGAGCGACTCCGTCACTTACACACACAGACATTAACAACTTTATATTGATAAATACTTACACACACACACAGACATGAACAACTTTATATTGGTAAAATGATAGCTGCGAATTCTTACGGCCGGTTTGATATATTAATAGAATTTTGCAATGATAGGACTATACTAGTATCTATATGATAGAATGAAAAAAAATATTGACAAAAAACTAGTAATTAAATCAAGAAGTTTTGGTGTAAACTGAACACCATTTCAGATATGTATTATTTTATTTATATGGATGTCTGTTGGTGCGATGAGGACCAGGTAACCTAACACCTCATCACCGAATACGATAAACCAGTTAGCAATACAAAAGAAAAAATATCCAAGATAGTAATATATACAAGTAGAATGGAATTAAAGCGATATTAAATATCGTCAAAAATTATTGTCCAGAAATTATATGAAAAGAAAGTACATTTATTCATATGTTGCTATTAAATGTTGTAAGATATATTTTTCTAATAGATATATTTTTCTAATAATGTTTTTCTGAATAGAAGGTCTCCTGGTTCACAATTTCTTTATGTATAAATGAACCTTTTTATTTATATATACCTAATAGTACTGGAAGACATAATATAATATTATTTTCTTGTATTGTATAGGTAAGTTCCCGGGTTACTTTACTAACACTCACAGTCTATTCCGGGCCAGAAGAACTGTGCGCACAGACTGTTGACGGCCGCTATGTGTTGTGGACGGACGTACGAGTAGCTGAGGACGGGGCGGGGAGGGGGCCGGTACTCCGGGACGTGTCTGTGGGGGAAGATAAGCAAATAGAAGAAACATCATGATGGATTTGGCTTGAATCAGTTTCATGGTAGGGGGAGGATATGAAGGTGGACTTGGTTTTCATGGTAGCGGCAATTACCAGGTCTACTTGATGATAAACGACCATCGAACCATATATCCAGCTTTATTACCGCTCAGAGGATATTTTGTTATAATTAGATAGCGCTTGGCTGTTTGGTGAGAAATGGAAATCAAGCTAAACATGGTAAACAAACTATTCTCAGTAACAACCTATTAATTTTACCTATAAAGATGCTCAAATTATAATCTGAACGAAGCACAGATGCATTGCTGTGCAAATAAGGTATCGCTCAAGGTCTGCCAAAAAAAGATAGAGATTCGTGGTGAGTCTGGCCGTCCAATCACAAAAAATAAAGGAATTAAATTTAATTGCAATCTTGGTATGTAATGTTAGTAATGACTGCATACATTCTCAAACAGTGGACTAAAGCCCTTAAAGAATAGCAAAAAAATCTTAAAAGTTATATGGCATTTGAATTTTCTTTCATTGATCCTCCTACCTATGCGTCTTCATGAGTAGTTCCTCGGTAACCTTCAGCCAAGTAGGTCTGGACGTGGCGTCCCGTCTGATGAAGGGCTTCAGGATGGCCCCGGAGTAAGGAGACCTGAAGCTCGTCGGCTCTATGTGAGACAACAACATCGTGCCGTAGTTAGTACTAGCTATTGTGCCGCACAGGTTGTCTATGAGGTACTGGAAATATAAAGATTCCTTAATAAATATACAAGGATGTATTAAATTGTATTATTTGTGACAGACAGCTATAGTCATTGAACAATCTATGTCAGAAATGATCATGTAGTTTAATTCAAAAATATCCCTACTAATATTATAAATGCGAAAGTAACTGTCTGTCTGTTTGTTACGCTTTCACGCCTAAACCACTGAACTGATTTTAATCTAATTCGGTACAGATATAGAGTTGACCTTGAGAAAGAACATAGGATAGTTTTTTTTCCCGACTTTTGAAAGGTTCTCTTGGAAACGCGATATAACCGAACTCCACGCGGGCGAAGCTGCGGGCGGAACGCTAGTTTATAATATGGAAGCTTTAATAAGATTTGGTGAAGGTGATCATTTTAGCGTGTGCAAGTTCTGAATCTCACCGATCGTTGGAATCTGTCCAGTATACACTCTGCGTTCATAGCGACTGAGTGGTCCTCCGTCACATATCCGCCCAAAACCTTCACCGTCCTACAACAAAAAAATATTCAAATTACTGGCCCACAGACCCAAAAAGACGAAAAAAAAAACAAAACATGACCAACGCACTTGTCCAAATCGAAGACTGGTTTGTGCTGGTGTCGTTTCAGTCTCCGTAATGACAATTTTGCCTTGAGTCTATACAATTCAGCCTTTTTGCTCGGGTCTTTGACTCTAGGTATGAGGTTTTCCACGGTCTTCAATAGCTGGACTTCTTCGTATTCCGTTAAAGGAACCAGTTTTTGCTTCTCTGATTCGCTCGGATGTTTTTCTACCCAGGGCATGTCTATCGAGTTTGGGAGCGTGGAAAACAGAGATTCCCGCCTGAAGATTTCTTTGTCATCAACTGTTTTCTTAGTTTTCGTTGTCTTCTTAGTGTGTTGTGACTTGTCACCGTCAGAGTGAGAGTTGGTGTCCGAATCGTAATACACCGATGGTCTACTCGAGGACACGCGCTGAAATAATAATCAAGGATTGCTTATAATGAAATCTATTTTGACAGGATACTACATCAGGCAAGTAAACGGTTACTTTGTCATTGTTGTCATTATTAGACAACATAGGTCGAATGCACGGCAGTTACATTTTCAATAGAATTGCTTATTTTGAACATTTTAAAATATAGTAATTAAATTGAATAATAAGGATAAACTTTTTCATAAGATCGTAAAAGTAATATTCTCTAAGTTATAAACACATTGGTTGTTATTATGGGCAGTGAGATGATATCAATATAAACAATTTTGACTATCTACCATGATGAACATTTAAAACAAAACAGTGCGGAGTGAGGAGTTATGACATACAAACTTACACTCTGAACGCGGCTGGCGGGTGTGAAGTCAAACTCCCAAAATGAATCTGAGTTGTCCTTGGCCGTCACACATGTTAGAGACTCGGGTTCCTCATAATACTCATTTCTGTGAGAGAAAAAACAATATTGTTAACATCTAATCACTAAAAGAAAGTATATATATTATGAGATCAGAGACTCGCGAGTATTCAATTAAATGAAACTAATATTTTTAGATTTATACTCAGCATATTTTATTATTTTAAAACCACATACTCCTGATGTTTCAGTTACTCTTCAGCAACCATGATCACGGACAGACGAGATGTGAATGTTTGTTGATTAGTCTTGTTATTGTTATTTTTATAATATCCGAAAAATATTCATTTCATTGAACTATATATAGAGGAATTGTCCTTTAATTACACATGAATCTAGGTTGCTAAATACCAAGTACCTTTCTTCAACCTCATAAGTCTTCATCTCAGAACTCTCCGAAGCATCTGAATCCAACTTCCTTCTCTTATTTGGATTTTCTTCTACATTTAGATAGACACCATAACCTGAGATTATAAAGAAGACTGTTATTGTAGGGCATTCCTTATGCTAAAATACGGATTTATGTACTATATAGAAAAAAAAATTAAAAACTTTTTCAAATTTGTTCATGAACTAAATAATAATACCTGGATTTTAGTATTTCAAAATTTTGGATAATTTAAAGGTTATTCCTGAGACTTATTTTTGGTATACTAAATATATTTTATATATTTTTTTTGCTAAATTACTCTCATTTTACTAAAACAGGCCTTTGCTAGAATCCTTATTTTGTACAATTGAATATTGTTATGTCTGTGATGAACACTCTTACCCATTAATTTTATTTTACTAATAAACAACACCGAGTCAAGTGTGAATTGATTGCGAGGCTGGCCTTTTGTTTTTTCTTTATTCATTTCTTGTACTGTAAAAATTATAATAGATTAGATCCATAAACTCTTTTATATAATAAGGTATACATCAAAGGTATTAATGGAAAATACTATACATATATGTGCAGCAACCGCTGGGGAAAAGCCATGCATTAGTTTCCACCATCCTGACTCTCCGAGGGCAATGGAGCCTGATCGGAAGAATGTATTACTATACACCGATAATGCTCCGGATATTGTTCCTATCCAATTCTTCTTGCGACTGTAAAACAATTAATATATTTATATATATAATTCTTCTGTGAGTGTGTATGTCACTGAACTTCTCTCAAATGACTGGTTTTTTGTGTTTGTTCAAGGAGATCTGGGAAAGGTTTAGATTCACAATTTTGTCCACTGGACAATGTTTTTTTAATTAATTTTTAATTTATTAGTAGTTGTTGATACAAACGTTTTTTTTTGACATTAGATTTGGCAACTAACTAATATGTCAATCATTCTGTCGCACTTCAAAACACGGAGATTTATGGCTTTAATAGGTAAACTCCAAAAATATAAATAAAAAAACGTAACAGATATTTCTTGATTATAGGGTGATACGAAGTTCGCCGGGTCTTCTAGTATTTAATAAAAAGTTAATGTATATTTACTTTTAATTTGACAAATAGTGAAATAATTTTGAAATAATACTTGCGAGTCCCAAACAACAGGGTCCAGTTTCTGTCTACAAATGAACAGATGTGTGTCTTGTAATGGAAGTATCCGCTGTTGCTTATACCCTGCATGTGCTCGCTCAGGTGATTTAATGTTAACAACAGTACATGGACCCTGGAACAACACCATAGTATGGTAATACAGAACAAATTAATTGATTATGAAATTGAGTCACATAAAAGAAAACTAATTATTGTAAGATGAAGCTTAATATGCATACTTATATAGAAATTGGAGCAACTATATGTAATTAACAAGGAACTATTTAGAATTATATAAAATAAAGGGATATGGGTGGAAAGTTAAGATTTAGTAGTATTTAAAATTTCTAGATAGTGTTAGAAGATACATATTTTCTGAAAACAGAGTTTCTAATTTAAAATATTCTGTTTAACTTTTAAAACATAAAAAGGAGCAGAGGTCCACAACAACATTCGACGTTGATTTTAAAAACAGTGTTTAATATTTACCAAGGAAATTTGTTGCGTTCAAACAACTCTTCTTTAGTGGGTGAACATTCTAGGCATGTGAAGTCAAAGAAAACATCTCCGTCTATATCCCCAGGTGTGCCAGGACGTCGTAAACAAATTAAATGCACTGCACATTTGCATTTCTCGCAAATTAAGCATGGCTTGTATTGTTTGTTTTCTGGTTGTTGACAATATTTACATACTACGGGCGTTAACGTTACTAAACTACCGGTATCGGTATCTATTGTACTTGTAGTAGCAATAATAGCAGAAATTTCGTTCATTTTAATTGAGGTTTTGTTTTGAAAACTCTAACCTGCCAGTCAGATGACATTTGATGACAGATGACAGACAATGGATCATATAGGTTCCGAGTAAATAGCTTCAATAAGAAAAAATACAGTCTTACATAAAAATTTAATAACATAAAAATTATCTAAGTTACGTAAAATCGTTCAGGAAAATGCCAAATCACATGTTTGTACCTCTGGTTCCTACAGCCTGGTAATAACGGACGTTAAAATGAGTATACAAGTTGGAATAGGCTTATAAAAAATGAAACGTATGTATCATTGAACGATAATGATAATCACTACATGAAACAACATAGAAAGAAACTAATTGCATCTACTACATTGTCCTTCTTTAATTCATTCTATTTTGAAAAACCAGGTGCTATTTTTAAAAACTTATGTTCTGTAGATTAGTGTCTGACAAGGTCTAAGTTTTGTCTTCTTTGCACCTCACTGTGTCTATCACAAGGTAGCATCAAAACACTGCCTACGGAACGATTCTAATCTTTCATTTTGGAAATATCGTGACGACATAAACTTGCGGTAAATATACATGGACTACGATAATATTAGTTATAGTTAGACTATTTATCTATACATATAATAAAATTGTAGAAAAGTGCTGTCTGTACATTGAAAATAAAAATAAAAAAAATAGCAGGGGTTATTGTTATGTCGATGTTGAACCCAAAAATGTAATTAACTTTTTTTTGTCTGTTCACGCTAATCTCACAAACGAGTTGTGGTATGCTTCAGTTATGCTTTAGTGTTTGTTTCATGTCAATCGCTTCATAAATAAAAGTTTTGTCAAAAAAACGCTGCTCATAGTCATTATTCCACAGCTAGTAGATAATAAATAATATATGTATAACAGAAAAAAAAGAAATTTATGATAATAAATTAAAGAGGGATTTTTTGTCACAGGACAAGCTTTCATTGCTGATAAGTAACGTTTTAAATTTACACTTTGAAATGAACGTCGGAGAGGTTCTAATGAAGCAGTTAAACATTAAAGTTTCAAGATCTAATTATTTATTTAAACACATAGTCACCATTGGCATTTTTCATTCGATATATCCTCATTTTGTTTAGGATTTAAAAATCGTAGAATTCAGTAAAGAAATCATGATTTTTATTGTTATATTTTGTGTATAAAAACTGATATTTAATATTACGTTTCATTTGTTTTTGTTTTAACAAAATGTCCGCGACACAAGTTATTTATATGACTAAAATAACTAATTCGATCTGTAACATTTGTGTTTTGGACATCGGCGAAATGCAAATATGTATCAGAAATTTTATTAGGAGCAAGTGAAACTGCCAATCGTTTTATTTCTTGTTACTTATTATAATTTGTTTTATTCCGGTTTTATTAATAGTAACATCTAAAAAAACAAGTCTTATTGTCTAATGATGTCTGTCGTCGCGCTCCGTACGGAACTCTCGTATCCATTTCTCTATGTTCTGTTTGTGAATGTTTCTCGCGAGTTTCACTGAATTCGGATCAGCCGGGTTGGCTGGCATCAGGTCCAGGTGATGAGCCGCGTCGATGATGACGACCGCCTTCACTGAACTACTGATACTGTTTAAGATGCCGCCTGTGGAAAATGTTATTGTAATTATTACTTATAGGAAACATCGTATTTGATGTCCGAATAGGGATTAAAATATCTATAATTAAGGGTAGATAAATAATTGTCACTCCCAACCGGTGGAAAATACATCAAAGTATTATTTTTCCTCTATCTCATGTGATAAACATAAATGTAATATTGTAATTAATGATAATATGTTTAAATGAAACTAATATTTTTCGGATTAAACTACGCGTATTTCGTTTAATAACACGATCACGGTTGTTGAAACAACCGAAATGTCAGAAATATGTAGTGTTTACAAAGATAAATTACATGTAGTAATCCGAAAAGTATTAGTTTCATTTAAATGATTATTCACGAGTCTTACATAATAATAATATGTTAATATAATTATTTATTTTAATATAATAGTTAAGTGTTACCTCCCGCCCATGGGTCCAGTAGTCCATTACTGAACACTATATTAGTAGCAGCCCTCAGTCTGTCTCCTCCGTACTGCACGCGGGCCGAGTCCGCTCGCGGGTAAACGTTGTATTTCCTGTGACAGTCTTCAGAGTATTTGGTGAAGTTCCAAGGAGACGGCTCGAACATATCCTGGTTGCCGGTTGTACACATCGGCATCACCATCTCTGTGCATGCCTGTGGGGTTTACTAGGGTTAAGATTGTAGCAAATTATCGCTATAATATATCAAAGAATTGTCTTCTTCCAAAAAGTATATGCAACAATAAGTATATATAGATCAGTTACCTGATAATCCCATCCAGTAGCGTCAAGATTTCCAAAGTCATCTCCCTTCTTGTAGTCGACGCAGGGAGTTTTGCCATCATAGTTGCTATACACTTTGATAACTTTGCCAATAGCCTGAAATGTTTTTTTTATCCTATAAAACGTTTATCCACCAAACCCCGTCTTCAGGTTCAATATGAGAAGTAAAATTAATAAAGTCTATGAATAATAGACTTCATTAATTTTACATACATATAGTTTGAAATGAGTTCAAATTGCCAATTGCCCTGAATTTCTATGTGATCAGCTGGTGATACGATATTTACATAAACAAATAAATAATTGGACGATAACGAATCATTTTTTTAATTACTCCAATTAAATATATTGCTCATTTATTTAAATATAGGAAAATTTTCAATAAGTTCAAAATATAAATATTTTTTGCTGACTGCTGAGGGCCGTACTTATCTCTATCATAAATATAATTAAAGTGTCTTTAAGTTCAAATAAAATTTTTCACTAAATTTATATAAAAATATACACGCTATCTACAATAGAAATACTAGTTTTAATATTTTTATTCGTCTATCTGTTTGTTCCGCCTAATTTCATGAACGTCTGGATTTGCAGACAAGTTGTATGACAAAGAGTAACTTAAGCTGCTTTTACATCTACTTCAAAAGGTAGAAGTTTTGTATTTGGTGGTATGTTTGTTACGCTATACCTACTCTTTTCTCATAGGGACACCTCAAAAGTACGATAACTTGTATCTCAAAAGTGGGTTTAATATACGGGCATCGGTTTGTTAATAAGACTCACTGACCTCAATGAGTTTTTGTCCACTAAGAGTTTCGTTCAAGTACTGGCACACTACCCGCACGGGCTGCGCGGGCAGCGGCAGCAGGAAGTCTGATGGGAAGGGATAGTTGACCATTGCGAGGGTCTCGTACATCGACTGGAGGAACTCCATCAAGGTGTTCACGTCCGACGGCTTTACAGGGTCGCACAGGTTCCAGTTCTTGTGAAGCCAATCAGTATTGTTTTGACTCTCGAGAAATTTCCTGGAACAATGATGTTATATGGAACATTAATTCTCTATTATTTGAGAGGAGCTTGGACGGTGGTGGTGAGCGTTAGACATGGGCCCCTTAAACCTACACCTGGGTCACAAGTCCCAGTCACTGTTGAAGCTCCTCTCCTTACAACGATGGACCCGGTACACGCACCGTGAATACATTGAATGCTGAGAGATTTACTCTCGTGTGTCATTCTTATCGAGATTACATTAAACATTGATTTATATTTCAAGCCAATGTCATTTGTTATCCATTTCTATACGAAATACTTCAACCTATATTGTTATGTTATTTAGTACCTAAGAACAGTCCACGAGTTTCGTATATTCTTAACGCATTTCTCGTCTGCTATCTTGAAGCTGGAGGTCACGATCCTATGGAACACTTCGCACGGCACCATCCCGGGGTACATGTGTATGGGGGCGGAGGCGGCTATGGCGCCTGTCACCAGGTGAGGGTACTTCATGCGGATGTAGGCTGCGAGCATCCCACCATACGATCCTACATAAAAATAAAGAAACTTTAGCAGAGGTTCAATGTATCAAATACATGTACTTCGTTTCATCAATAAACAACTTCTCTAGGAAAGGTTTCTTGGCGCGAAAATCATATGGATCTATGAACATACTTACAAACTATATACACATTTAAATTACCGAATAAAACTAATATTTTTGGGATTGTACTATGTATTTTATACTTGTAAACACTATATATTCCCTAAAATTATAAAATACTAGTTTTTGCCCACGACTTCGTCCGCGTTAGTTTGGTCAAGAGTAATATATGTAGGTATAGCTGACCAGGCAAACTCTATTCCATCTTAGAGGCCATAAATAATCAGGTTTTTCCTGTTTCAATCAAACAGAATAATTGCCATATTAGTTAGTTGTCAAATCTAATGTCAAAAAAAACGTTTGTATGGGAAATAGAAAAGGGTTGTTTTTAGGGTTTTCCCGGCAATTATTCCAATTTTTCTCACCTTTTAAACTTTCCCTGGACTTCCAGGAGTATTTCAAGAATAAAATTAGCCAAATCGGTTCAGCCGTTCTCGAGTTTTAGCGAGACTAAGGAACAGCAATCCATTTTTATATATATAGAAGATGTGTAGTATAATCCGAAAAATATTAGTTTTATTTAAATGAATACTCGCGGGAATCTTAGAACTCATTACATTTTCCAATGCCACTCTCTTACGAAATACGTTTCAGATCGTCATCTGTCCTTTAAGGTACCATTAAAACGACTGTACACTCCTGGTCATTCAGGTGTCGTTTTTAAAACCGATTGACAAAGTTGATGGTTGGAGGTGAAGTATAAATACCTCCAAAAGCGATGACGGGGTACGTGGGTCTCTGCTTGTTTCCCTGCAGATAGTTGATGAGGTCAGCGTAGTCAGCCAGCGCCTGTTCGGATGTCAAGTAGCCAATGTGCTCGTTGTCCAGCGACTTATTACCGAACGGCATTGATTGACCATAGTATCTAAAAACATATATATTTTTTGAGATATACATATTTTACATTCGACGATTTTAAGATAGACATTTTTGGTAGAACTGAAAAAAATTAACTTTGAGGGCACCTTAAAACTGTAGTATACTGTATATAATAACCAAAGATGTCTAAAAACTTTGGGATCATCTAAGTATGTAAAGAAAATAAACATTGAACAGCATTCTAAACGGATGTCAATATATATCCATATAAAAATTGATACATTATGAGTCATTTTTATATTAATTTGATCCAATTGGAAAAACTTTTCAAATTTTTATTAAAGTATTAACTGAGATTATCAAATATGAAATGGATTTTCTCTCGTGTGTATTGTAATGTTACAAACCTGGTCTAAAAATTTAATAAAATGATTGATTTTAAATTGTAATTTAACATTACGTCACATACCTAATAATTTTTAAATTACTTTCACCGTATTTCTTCGAATGATGCATTACAAATGACGCATTTATCATAATAATAAATTAATAAACATAGACAGGACAATAAAAAATATAAATAATCTACGTGACAAAAGTATAGAATAATACAAGACAAACCTATGTTCTGCGAACACCAATCTTGCTTTAAATTCTTCAGCGATGTCCCACATAAAGCCGGTGTGTTTCGCGAACACCTCAATTTGTCCCTGATGACATGTAATATATTTATAAGCAATGAATATTTAGAGGAAGTCACAGTTTATAACATTTCAAGCAAATTATATTACGTTGAATACCGCCGCGAGCTCCACTCATAAATAATAATACTACAAATCATTGTAATTTATTATTCACGCTAAGGTATTGTTGTTTTATTTTCATCACAACTTTTTTTAATCCCTTCAGACTTTCTTTGAACAATCTCGTTAATAAAAAAAATGGAACTAAATAAATTTAGGTATTTTTCAAAGTTTTTTTATTTATGTATAAAAATAATTGAATTATAATGTATACACTCCCTCTATTTATAAAGTTCTCTACATTATCAAGTATTTTTGATATCATTATTAAGTTTCAAGATGTTATACCTTCAAAATAAAAATATTAATACCATAAGGTTTACAATATAAATATATATTTATATTTACATATAATATATCTGTGCTTTACAATTTGCTGTAAGACGAATCACATACTAAATGGAACAATAAACAACATGCAATACGATTTTTTTTAAACTTATATAATAATTAAATTCATCTCTGTCACTTTATCAAAATATTATTTAAATGTTTGTAAATAAACGTGAACTGTGTGATAAGCATGGATAAAAACATATTTAAAACGATAGGACAACAAACAGTTATTTTTTAAATTCTAACCTCATTTCCCGTATAGAAGAATATAGGTCCGCCTCCCTTGTCCCAATACTGATCGTTGGTCAGATATTTTATGTTGAAAGTTTCGTTTCTCTGGTATCCGAAGTGATCTAATGGCACATTGAACCATTTCGTCTCGAACTTGTAGTCGCAGGTCACATAATTGATGAACAATACAAAAGATATTACTCTGAACATTATGTCGTGTTCACTCGTCGATGTTTCGCGATACAATAATGAACTGTCGATTAACGGACGCGGGACGATGCGGCGGGCCGCCCGCGCCGGTCGCCGGTAGCTATACACACACAGTAGTCGGTAACTCGGTACACAGTGACGTAAGGTGCGCTCCCGGTGTCAAGTGTCAATTGAACAAGGATATTTGAGATATGATTGGTCAATACACTTTGAAACTTTATCTATAAGCTATAACCTCTGATGTTTGATCGAACTAGTTCACGAGCACCTAATATGTGATATACATTGATAATTAAATTAATTTTTGATTGCCAATAATTTAAGATTTACATTCCATTTCATTAGGATTTACTAAATATATGAAAGTGCAAGTTTGATTTGCAATTCGAGTATGTCCGATGCAAAAAAAGACTATACTAATAAAATAAGTAATTACTTATTTTACTTAATAAAATTTTATTAAGTAAGAATTAATGCAGTAATTTTTAATAATGCATAATATTCTCCTAACTAAAATATAAAATGTGATCTGAGACACCAAACAAGCTCAAATGTCATGAGAAACTTGTAATACTGAATACTGAATACGATAATTATTATTGTAACTATTTAAATTCATAATGAGATCTAAGGCTTTCGCGACTATTCAATTAAATGACACTAATATTTTTCGAATTATGCTACGCGTATTTTATTATTGTAAAAACTACATACTCCCAACATTTGGGTTACTTTTCAGCAACCGTGATCACGGATAGATCAAGTCACATCTGATTTAATCAGATGTAGTTTTTATCCGTAGTTTAATCGGAAAAATATTAGTTTCATTCATTTAAATTAATTTACCCTTTCTTTTTTTAGGTAAAAGTTGACAGTTTATGTTTTAAGTTCAACAGTAGGTAAATCCGCACTAGGTTTTTATTCATATCATACGGAAGACTTCACACTATTGAAATAAGTGACGTGACATACCGGAAATTATTATTCTATAGTTATTTTAAGTTACATTTATGTAACGATTAAGTTTTTTATAAATTTTGTGATATTATGTCATTGTACTGTTACCTAATGTGATTTCCTTGTTTTTAAATTGATACCGATAAATATTTTTACACGAAATAAAGAGGTTTTTGTCATATTTGCTACATTGGTTTCAACTTAATAGTTTGGTAGAGAATGCCAAGAAAAGAATATGCCTTATAAGTTATAACTCTTTCTGACGTTAAGAATTATAATAATCAAATACCTATATGGTGAAGATACATAGCTTTGGAGTGTTTTAGTTTTCATTAATATATTAACGTATATTTTTGAATGTATCCCAGGACGCGAACAGTAGGTAGCGTGTAGATGCAAGCCTGTGACAACTGTGTAGTTCTATATGGCTGGTCTGATACGTATCCTATAATTATTACTACTCAGAACTTGTTATTACATTTTCAATATCAATCAAATTTTGTGCGATCACTAGAATTAAAATTAAAAAATGAAAAATTCATTGACACGAGCAGGAATCCAACTGGTACATACAGAATGTTGCTTTCCAGTGGCTTTTCTGTAATAAGCTACAATGTCCTGACTGGAGTACTGGAAATAAAGTGAATATGACGGTTAAATTTGGGGAACGCTTAAGGAGTTGGCTGGTCTTATTACTGTAACTCTATTCAAGAAACAATAAGTTCATTAGTGAATACTACAAGTACATATATTGGACCTCTCCTCGACACTAGACACGAGCTCCTTGTCATGGTACACGTATTGTCAGAGATAAGCCTCAGTCGTTAGTGAGTTTCAAGGAGATGGTACAAGAGAAGTCGATTGCCAGTTGAGGATCGTGGTAACACGTTTTCGTATGTTTTCTTTTGAAAGTAACGTTACGTTAAATTAATACTTGAATAAACTACAGACTCCACTCTAAAATGAATCTTAAGTGTATATCTAATAGGTAGTCTAGGTAATTACATTGTTTTTTGTATCATTTATTGAATAATGTATAAGTAACTTGAAAAACGAGTACAGCAGTCTAAAACTTTCTTACAGGGAATTTTTCTTTCAGAGTTGCGTTTGAACAACTTTTCCCGGGCTCAAAATTTTTTTTTAAATATTTTCTATGAATATGAACAGAAAAATTTATTTGTTTATGGTAATAAAACTACGGTTTGCTTCATATTATTTTAAGAATAAATTGAATTATTGAAAGTGAATTGTTTAAATTGTCAAAAAGAAGTATGTACAGAAAATTGTATATCGGAGCATGATAGGGTTTTTATATTTTAAATAAATAATGGATATCTATGTTTATAAAAATAATAAAAAAGTAATAGCAAAAGCAATTAACACATTTTGTATGTCAATGTGAAATTAAATACTTATTTATTAATTACATGACTAATATTAGTACATAGTTTCAAAAAAGCCAAGGCATAAGTAACGAATATTTGATGTGATTTTAAGTATTTTAAAAATATATATTTTTAATGTTTAATATATCTATGAATTGAAATTAAACTGAAATGGTTGCTTTAGCGACATTTTGTCCAATAACGGAATCTTTTCAATCTGGACACACGATTTCAACTGGTTACTCTGGAAGAGTCCTTAATAAGTTGGTTGTGTAGTAAATTTTTTATAGTTTGTTACTTTTAACACGACCCTAGTGTTGCCAATGAAATAAAGCGCTCACTTTATTATTAGTAAAATAGTTTTTCTCGTTTAGTATTAATTTTCAGTGTGGCAATACAATTAAATTTTCTAAAACGAAGTGTTAATGTTGACGCAATTTATTGCTAACACTTTTAATTTTTAATAACGTTCTAGGAATGTTTATTACAGCACAGTTTTATAAAAAAAGAGGAAATTTTGAGACATTAGACTCTTCTACTTCATATATTTGTTTTCGAGCTTAAAACTTTTCGTATAGCTATTTTCAGAAAACACTCATTTCCATGTTTATAATAACAAAAAGAGTCGCTGAGAAATAATTTCATCTGTAAATATTGAAAAACAATTTTGGATTGTCTGTAAATTATGTGTTGCGCAGAGATATGCAAAGACAAAAAAATATATTTGTTATTAAATGATTTTGATTAAACCTTATAGGTATTAAATTAATAAATTACCTCGCTTCCAACATGCTTTGCAAAACTCTGCATAGTCACACTATTTACGACAGGTCTCCCGTTTCTCATTCAATAACACTTTCTGTGATGATTTATGAATGAAATACCTACTGCTCGTATGTTGTGTAAGATACAAAACTTGGGGTAAGCATACAACGATAATGAGTGTAGTCAATTAATCAACATCATCTGGGATACGGCATTTTTAATTGGTTATCTCTTAAAGACGAAGATATATGCAAACCTTTCAAATTCAAATCACTTAAATCAACTCTTGTTCTTAACGTTTAACTGAAAGACTCAATTCAATTTCTTATTTAGGTACTACATATATAGAAAACATCTTTTTGTGATTATATTTTATTAAATAAGTGAAAAAGATTAACAATAAATATTTTCTATATAATTAAAATCTATCATTAACAACTGTTCAAATATTATAAAGCTTGATATGCTGGGTATTATCTTTATTTCTATGAGGTATCTAAAGTTATTTCGATCGAAACAAGATGTTCTCGTCTCTGCAAGCTTATTTATATGCTATGAAATTTAGTCAGGGGGTTCAAGTGAACCACCAGTCGAGTCACCTCCAGATCCTGCATGTGTTATCTTTGGAGGCGGTCACGATCGCGTCACCAGCGTACGAGAAGGCACACGAGAAGATCTCACCCTGGTGACCGGATAAAACCTAGAGTAGAAAAACAAGGCTCATAAGTCGTAATTATTATGTAAAACATTGAAACGTTCATCAGAGTATATAAACCAAGAGTATATAAAGGTGTATCAGCCAATAGTTTGAAAATGACTATTAAATCGTGGTTTCCTAGTGGTTAAAAGCACTCCTCTCGTGCATGAGGGTTCTGGTTCGAAACCTGGCAAGTACCAATGTGATTTTTCCGAGTCATATGTACTTTCTAGGAGTATTTAGACACCACTAGCTGACGGTGAAGCAAAACATCCTGAGGAAACCTGAATTTATAATTTCAAATTAAAAGTTTAAAATGGCCACCCGTCTTGAGCAAGCGTGGTGATTAATGCTCAAACATTCTCCATGTGAGAAGAGGCCTTTGCTCAATAGCTCTGATTGGCTGATGATGATAATGATTATAAGTGAGAGTGTAAAAAATTATGTATACAGGGTGACTGGTGAATTACTATCGATATTTGAGGACGTGATATTTGACGATCATATATGACAAAATAAAAATTAATATAACATAAATATTAATAAACTTCTAAGTAAAGTTAACCAAAAGTTATGTAATTAATTACGCATCGTATGAACACCCTACAGATTAGGTATACACACTCACTCACACAGACGCGGCGGCGGCGTAGTGTTGTATCAGCACGCCGCCGCACGCGTCCACACTAGGAACACTTGGAAAGTGTACACACTTTATTTATTTATACGGAAATTTGGTCAAAAATTAAGTACCTATTTTTTTTACATAATTCAAATGAGAATCATGTACCGAGTATGCTCCTTAAATATTGATAGTAATTCACCAGTCACCCTGTATATCCTTTTAAAAGTTTATATTCTGCATGTAATATATCTATATGACCTGGAGGCAGTTCCCGGTGTTAGTGTTCCAGATGCGCGCACTCCGGTCAGCGGAGGACGTGAGCAGGCAGCCACCAGCTGGACTGAAACACACCTGCACACACAACAGACGAGGATATTGATATAACACACAAAAATATATTAAAAGTATTCATTTTTCCAGAATGTATTGAGGTACAAAGTTACGTACTTGTTACTGAATAATCGGTTTAAATAGCAATTTATTTGAATAGATCCAATCATGATTTTTATTCTCTTTGACATTAAAGTTACATATTATAAGTATTAAGAAGATTCTGAATAGCGTTTTGTTAAACATTACTTATATTCATTATACAACAATAAGTAACATTAACTTTATTGAGATTTGAGGTCTGGGATCTTCGCGAGTATTCATTTAAATGAAACTAATATTTTCGGATTATAACGCGCTATCCGATTATTTTAAAACTACATACTCCTAATGTTTCTGTTACTCATCTCACCACGTCTGTCCGTGATCACGGTTGCTGAAAAGGAACCGAAACTTCAGGAGTATATTGTTTTTAAAAATTAAAATACGACTAGTGAGTTAGTTTAGAATAACTCTAATCAGAAAATATTAGTTTCATTCAACATAAATTTTCCTGGAGAGGGATATAAATGAAAATATATCATACATGTCAAAATCCATAATTATTAAGCTAGAGTAGTCAAACCTTCGACACTTCCTCTCTATGGCCCCTCATGACAGCCAGTTCCTTAAACTCAGCTCGTACATCGTACACGCGAGCTGAACAGTCGCTGGATGAAGTGGCCATGCGTTGACCGGCCCAGTCGAAACAGATGTCCAGGACCTGGACACGATTCACACAATTACTAAAAGACTTCGATAGTTTGACCTTTTCATACTTAATTTAGAGGCCCTTTTTGACGAAAAGGAAAATTCTATTTAGCTTTGGTTTGTAGATCGACTGTCAATATAGCGTATTTACGGATTTTCAAGTGTAATTGAACGAGCGTTAGATAGGCTCCCTTAAATCTACACCTGGGTCGCAAGTCCCAGTCACTGTTGAAGCTCCTCTCACTATAACGATGGACACGACACCAACACAATGAATGCATTGAATGCTGAGATGTATCGTCTCTCTTTAGTACTTTAACATATATAATACAATGTCGTCCAAGGAGTTCCAATATTTTGATAATAGTGTGAGATGTGATGAAGTCTATAATATGTCGGCTTTCCTTACTTCATCAGAGTGCGAGGCCACAGTCGCCAGGCAGGTGTTCTGCCTCGCGTCCCACAGCCGAGCGCTGCCGTCCAAGGAGGCAGACCCCACGAGGGTGCTGTCCCAGTTGTACTGCACGCTAGATATCTCACCGGAATGACCTCGGAGTACCCCCACACGACTAACATGAACAAATACTTTGTAATTATTATCAAACTTATAGCTTTCTACATACATATGTAATCTTTACTTTGGGTATAAATTGATAGAAAATTTGATAGTATTTAAATTCGTTAAAAAGTGATGAATATGATTTAATGAGACCATAAATAATAGGTCATATTGTCAAACTTACTCTCTAACTCTCGTATCCCACAGGGATATCGTCCCATCAAAAGAGCCAGTGATTAGTTTTTGTCCTTCATTGGGATCGAATTGTAAAGCAATTACCTCTGCCGTATGTCCAGTATAAGTCTGAATCTCTGCGCCTGATGGAAATATATTAGCAATAAGTTGTAACGGTGAGAAAGTGTCACTAATATACTAGGCGCATTAAACTCGTCACTTCCAAGTATGTACCTGTTCCAGAATCATATAATTTGGCAAGATGGTCCATAGATCCGGTTCCTACATAGTCTCCTTTCGAGTTGAACTGAGCGGCAACCACCTCCCCCGTGTGGCCCCACAAAGTAGCGAGACACTCCCCTGTCTCCGCATTCCAGATTTTAGCTGTTTTGTCGAAGGAACCCGTCAGAACTCTGTTACTGTATTCAAGATATTTTTGTAAATAAGATGATCTTATCAATGTTTTCGTTATTAATTTGTTAAATAGTAAATAAAAGAGAGTTACCACGAGGGGAAATTAAATCCAACAGCGTAGACAACGTTTTGGTGGCCAGATAAAGTCTTTAATTCCTTCCCCGAATCAACGTCCCATATTTTGCATGTTCTGTCATAGCTTCCTGAGAGGCATCTGTTGGAAACAAAACCGTGTGCCTGATATTCATCACTGATAAGTGATAATATTTTTAAGTAACTCGTGTTTTCTTACCGTTGTCCAGTCTTATCAAAACAAACGTTAGTGAGAGGCAGGACGTGTGTGTGTAGGGTCTTGTAGATGTAGAACCTCTTCCCCGTGGGTCCCTCGTGCTCGATCCTCTTCTTCAGCGTCTCCAGACATTGCTCCAACTGCTCACGAACGTCTTCCGTTATCAGGAGTTCTTTTTGGTACAGTTCGTTTGCGACTGCTTTCGTGTCTGATCTGCAAAATTTTTTTGTATATTGGTTTTAATTTTTCTTCTTCTTTTCATTTTAATTGAAAGAACTTTGGTTTTTCTTTTAATATGCCTTCTAGTTAGTGTTTTTAATATTTATATCGTAAGCTTACTTGCTATTCAGATCCAAGAGATCAATGTCCTTATTTTTCACAATCCCCTTCTGAAGATACTCCAACACGATGCCAGGAGGATGATACCGAAGGTGGAACTTTAATAACTTCATTATTATTATAATCTATATCAAAGTGTACATTTTTATTAGCTTTTTCATGTGTATATAGTTTTTTATAAGCTGTCACATTTTGTCAATAACGCGGTTGCCTTGTGAACGGCTGTAAGAAGGTTCATCGGGTTAAATAAGGCATAAAAAGCAGTCTTGCCTTGTCTAACAAGGATTAAATACTTCTAAGTGAATTCTACCATTATTTTTAAACCTTTAAAGTTAAATCTTGTAATGTATGTAAAGGCGAAATAAAATCGTAAATAAGTTTAAATATACATATGTTAGGTTGTAGATATTATATTTAAAGCACAGTTATCTAGTGTTTTGTATTGTATGTGCTTGTATTAACAAAAACCAGTCAAACGTAGCCAACCTTATTCAAGAATGGACAATATGAAACTATGTGACAATATTGAACAAACTGTTGGCTGATCTGAGGACAAGTATGTAATACAGTTTAAAATCATTTTATGAGTGTACATCAAACAACAACAGACAAAATCTCGTTTTAATTTTTACATGTTAAAGCAATTTTTTTGATGTAGATAAGTTAGATGTAATGAAAGGGGAATTATTGCTTATGTGTGAGTTACACTTAATTCTTATAAACAACTTTATCTTGTATTCCAAAAAAATAATGATCGATGAATATATTATAACAAAATTGTATGTAATAATTAATTTTCATTACTTCGTCGACGATAACCAGATGTTTGTATACATTTTAAATGCACTATGGTTGCTCTCAGGAATAGGTAACATTTTTGGTCATTTATAAATTTTTGTATAACTGTTTATAATATTTATATAACTGTTTTCAATGCTACTTAAATTTATTTTGAACTTGAATATAAGACTCAAACTGCGGTCAAAGGTTAAATAAGTAAATCTATACACATACATATCTTATTCTGACTTCAAGGTGGTTTTAAAAACTATTAAAAGTAAAAAATATGTTGTGTTAAAGCCTTATTTCGTCCCTATGATTACCCCAGTTCACCGCCGGAGCCATTCACGTACAGGTTCCAAGATTGTCAGCCAGACAAAAGAGCTGGCCCAGTTTTTTTTATGCGCGACATATTTGCTTGGGGAAATGCTCCCGTTTTGTTCACTGAAGTCGCAAAGGGTCAGGTAATTTTTGTGTTCAAAAGATTTTTGAGATCCAAAATTAGAAATTGTTGTACTTAAACATCAAGTCAAATAAGTAAAAAAGTATATAAAAAAAGTATTTAAACTATACTTATCCTTGTAAAGAATGTTATTATACTTTTATATAATAGTTTTGTTTTTTGTGAATAATTAAAAAGATATGACGTCATAATAAAATTGACGAAATAAGTAATAAAACGGTGATTAAGAGTTTTTATTAATAGATAAATGTTCTATGACATAAAAATTCCTGAAACAGACAATAGAAAATAAAATTATAATTTATTATGAAATAATACTTTAAGTCGATAAAGTGTACTAGAATATTCAAGCCATGAATTCCTTACATTTTGACGTAGGACTTACATCATTTAATATCGGTATAACAGAAATTGTTTAAAGTGTCATAAAATTTCATTGAAGTTAAAAACCAAATATAAATGTGCTCAAACAAAAATGTCTATCGCATAATTTAATAAGTACAATAACAAGACTAAACTCTTATACAATACATTCCATAATCCCTTGATTGTATTTCGTATCTAAGCGCACGGTAGTGCGCCGGCCAAGTTCCACAGGCCGGCGCATGCCGTGCACTATATTTACACGAACCGTTTCGACCCACTTTTGACCCCCCTGTAGCTCAGTGCCTATTGCAAGTACAGAGATAAAATTTTACCTACGTAATCATATACTAGTACTCAAGCAGTATGCCAAATTTCATAGATAAAGCTTCAGTAGATCCTGAAATATGACCCTGTGAAAATAGCTAATTTTGGCACTGACTCACTGACAGGTAATCAAAACCTCTAGGCCACTTCCCATTGTTTTAGCATTATGAAATTTGGTACACAGGTTGTGTGTTATATGTAGATTAACAAAAAATTAAGAAATTTAAGAAATCGGTCAAGCGTGAGTTGCCTCAATCCTAAATATCGAATTTTTAATAAATTCGACCCACTTTTGACCCCCTGTAGCTCAGTGTCTATTGCAAGTTCAGAGATAAAATTGTACCTACGTAATCATATACTAGTCCTAAAGCAGTATGCCAAATTTCATAGATAAAGCTTCAGTAGATCCTGAAATATGACCCTGTGAAAATAGCTAATTTTGGCACTGACTCACTGACAGGTAATCAAAACCTTTATATAGGCGCTCAGCTCAGCACAATAAAATACATAATAATGAAATATTAATAATTAATAATATGAGTACATCTATCAATCTTCTATATATATAAAAATGGATTGCTGTTCCTTAGTCTCGCTAAAACTCGAGAACAGGTGAACGGATTTATCTTATCTTAGTCTTGAAATGTTCGTGGAGGTTCAGGGAAGGTATAAAAGCTGAAAATAATTGATTCATTACTGGGAAAACCATAAAAACAGCCCTTTTCTATTTCCCATAGAAACGTTTTTTTTGACATTAGATTTGACAACTAACTAATATGTCAGTCATTCTGTCGCACTTCAAAACACGGAGATTTATGGCTTACAGGTAAACTCTAAAAATATAAGTAAAAAAACGTAATAGATATTTCTTGATCATAGGGCGATAAGAAGTTCGCCAGGACTTCTAGTCGGTGATAAATGAAACTAAAAAATAAAAAATAAATATAGTTTAAAAAAAACTAAAAAACACGCTCCAATGATGAAAGAAACCGCGTGGAAACTAATTTAACCTTTACAACCTTGGAAATCAATTTAATTTAAATTGTTTAAAATAAACAATAAATGGTATTATTGAAAAAAAGCTTGGGGCGCTTCTCAAGAAGTGATATATGAAGCTCATCACGCTTTTTTTCACAAAAATACCATTTATTGTTTGTTAATTTATTTTTAAATTAATATTATTGTGAAAAAGTGTGGGGCGCTTCTTAAGAACTGATATATATAAGGGATATAAAATATTGTCATGTATACATAATGCACACTGTATAACTTAATTAAATATTGCTTACCTAAAAAATCAGGTTTCTATTGTTATAAATTACTTTCAATAGATGGCGCTAGCGGTATAATTGAATTGCGATATTGTTTTGTCTGCAGTATATATGAATGAAAGTCGATAAGGAATCGATGGTCATTTCTTTCTATTTCTTTCTACACTTAGGTCTTGATATCTTATATATGGTTACGATTACGATTAAATGGATCACTGATTTGACTTGCTAAAGGATTAATTTTGATATTGCTTATTGATTGATTACTTGTGTGTGTTAAACGCACAAATTCACTCTATTTCTTTTCTACTATTCAAATGAAATTGGTTAATACCAACGATGGAAATTGTACATCTTTCGGTGGTTGGCGGAGATATACCACATAGGGTAATTCCTATGCCATCAGATGGTAGCTGTATGTTTCATGCTGTAAGTTGTGCATTGTACGGCTGTATAGTACGATTGTATGTACGATTTCTTGAAAAAAAAGTATTGAAATCTCACCAAAAACATGCCTGTTAAAAAGGGGGCCAAGTTCCAATCGGCTAATTGTTTGCCTAAAAAAGGGGTGAAATCCAATCTAATGCCAAGTTTAGATGCACTTTGAAATCGATCATAATCATCTTCATCAACAGCATGATCCACTGGTAAACATTTGCCATTCCCAAGACTCGCCACCACACCCAGTCCTCTGCCTTCCACATCCAGCCACTACCCGCCACCTTATTCACGTCAACGGTCCATCTGGCCGAAATTCACTTTACCATACACCCAACTTAAAATATGGTATAGTTGTGAAAATACGTAGGTGCTTGGTTAAAAATATCTAAAATTATAATACTTCTAAATTTGAACTTGGCAGGTTTTTGTGCTATACGTAACACTTAATTAATTGTATCATTAATTTATTATTTAGTTATGTAATTATTTATATTTATATAATTTAAATATTATATAATTTAAATAATTAAATTAACCTGCCAAGTTCAAATTTAGAAGTATTATAATTTTAGATATTTTTAACCAAGCACCTACGTATTTTCACAACTATACCATATTTTAAGTTGGGTGTATGGTAAAGTGAATTTCGGCCAGATGGACCGTTGACGTGAATAAGGTGGCGGGTAGTGGCTGGATGTGGAAGGCAGAGGACTGGGTGTGGTGGCGAGTCTTGGGAATGGCAAATGTTTACCAGTGGATCATGCTGTTGATGAAGATGATTATGATCGATTTCAAAGTGCATCTAAACTTGGCATTAGATTGGATTTCACCCCTTTTTTAGGCAAACAATTAGCCGATTGGAACTTGGCCCCCTTTTTAACAGGCATGTTTTTGGTGAGATATGATTAACAACTTTAGTTTACTTGCAGTGAGTAAAAAACACTCATACAAAAGTAGGTTTGTTAATATCTGTATACCTAGTACACGTTTGTATTATCAAAAGATATAATAAGCTTTTCTCATTCAATCAATTTCTGTTTACAGTAAAATAAGTGAGAATTAATTTATGAAAAACCGATAACTTTTGATGCAAACGGGTACGCACTAAGCATGTAGATGATTTAATTAAAGAACATCTCTTTAAACGCTTACAACATTTTATAATCGTACAAAGTATTATTTAAAAATAATATTAAACATATATTAATGCCAATTTGAACTAATTGTAATTATTAATTCACTAAGATAACTTAACGAATAACCGTAATATTTTAACATCGATCTATGCCTGCAGGCAATGACTGATACTGACTCACTCGTATTAATTTGCTTAATATTTTTACCAAAAAGTATTATCTAGTAATAAAAACAATAAAAAAACAGTTTATTTGTTACAATATTCATTTAAAATTACTTTTTAATGTATATTATTTGTGTATTTAAGTTTGACAACATCTTATGTCTTCCT